GTTGGACAGCAAACTCGGGTAGCCAAATCGCCTTTTTTAGCTCAGAGTTAGTTGGACTCCCGATCGTGGACCAAAGGCGATTTGCTTCAACAATACTCCATTGACTGGTCAACTTCTTCAGATCTGATTTAGCGTCTTGGAAAGGTCGAAAAGCGGCGTCTAGAGTTTTGGCCGCCAAGTCCACGGACTTCTGGCCCACTAGTGGGCCAGAAACTCGCGGAGGCGGAAAAAGACGCTTTTGATCGAGTCCAGTGGAACCGAACCGATAGCGGTGATGACCCCACAGGACCTTCCTCATCCAACTTACGGATCCAAATTCGGTGCGGGTCACGTTCGGTCGAGCTGTTTGTCAGATCTCTGGTAAAACGGTCAGACTTTTAAAGTGGCCTCCGCCGGCTTTGCAGTACCAACTAGTCACAACACAAAAGCCGCCGGGCGTCGCCTCTCAGGATCAGGAACAGTGTGGCGTAGTGCAGCGGCGCAGTGATGACACATCCACAGTGACACCACCACATTTTTTGGGCCGACCTGCTGCCAAAAGTTGGAAGCGTTGGAGCTCCTGCTACACAGAACTCCCCACGTCGCCCGAAACCAATGGGACAACTTCGATTTGGGACCTCCGCGTGGGGCAAGTTAACTAAGTCACATATTCACAAAAGCCGCCACCGCCGCGTCCCGCCTCCCCGAGGATCCCCCCGGCGTTGGCGTCATCGGCGCGGCGGCTAGTCGATGACGCGATCCGCACGGTGCACCGACGGCGACGCACAGTGGGCCAGAAGACCGGTGGAGGCTGCCAAAAGTCTGGAAGCGTTGTGAGCTCCAGAGTCGCTAAACAGAACTCGGACCGCACGTGTGACCCCACCAATGGGTCCCTCGTTTGGAGAGCGATCCATTGGTGGGGTCACACGTTCGGTTCGAGTCCCATTTAGCTACTCTGGAGCTGAAAACGCGTCCGGTATTTTGACCGCCTCCACCGGTCTTCTAGTCCACTGTGCAGCGGCCGAGTTGTCTGTCGAAGATTGAGGAAGTGAAAGCGAAAGGGCGGGGGCGGCGGAGGAGTGGGGGAGGGGGCGGGGGTGGCGGAGAGGGGGGAGGGGGGCAGCGTCGCGCCGGGGAATTCTCGATGGCCACTTCTCTTTGAATAAAGTATTCAACGAGTCAACAGAAGAACTTCCCCGGCGGAGCGCCCAGCGCCGCGTGCAGTTATGGCAACTTTGGTTTTTCCGTTTGCGATGAATAAATGGCGAACAAAAGGCGCAGTCACGGACGGCCCTCTCCGCCTTGCTGCCTTGCCGCCTTGCTCTGCCGCGCCTCAGCGACGCCGCGCCCCGAGCCGAGAGCCGCGAAAGCCTCGCGAAAGCTTCGCGAAAGCTTCGCGAAAGCTTCGCGAAAGCTTCGCGAAAGCTTCGCAAAAGCCGGGCCAGAGACCGCGGCAAAGCGCAGCGGGCCGACGGCCAGCGCTTGCCTCTGCCCAGCCCTGTGCTCTCCGCGCTGCGATCCCGAAGCCCTCCAAGACTCCAAGCCCCGTGCCACAGTGGGCCAGAAGACCGGAGGAGGCGGTCAAAATACCGGACGCGTTTTGAGCTCCAGAGTCGCTAAACAGGACTCGAATCGAACGTGTGACCCCACCAATGGATTGCTCTCCGAACGAGGAATCCATTGGTGGGGTCACACGTTCGATTCGAGTCCCGCTTGCTGTGGAGCTCAAAACGCGTTCAGAATTTTGGCCGCCTCCGCCGGTCTTCAGGCCCACTGTGCGTGCCCGTTGTGCCCCGACCGCCTGCAGAATGACTGATTCCGAGAGTCGCTTTCGTCGTCCTGTCTCTCTCGCACCCATGGGGCCCTCCGTAAGAGTGCGAGAGAGACAGAGTGGCGGTCGCTGCGCTGCCGCGCGTCTATTAAAAAGGACGCCGCCGCTCCTCGTCGTCTTCTTCGCGGTGGCGGAGTTGGAGTCCCCCGTCTCGCCGCGCTGCCGCGCTCCATTGTTTCCTGTTTCCACCGCCAGAGCCAGAGTCGGCCAGAGTGCGCCAGTAAGCGTGTTGTTCGGGCCTTCTGGCCGGGCAGCAGCTGCCGCCAAGTGCAGCGCACGCGGCACAGTGGGCCAGAAAACCGGTGGAGGCGGCCAAAACTGTGGACGCGTTTTGAGCTCCAGAGTCGCTAAATGGGACTCGAGCCGAACGTGTGACCCCACCAATAGATTGCTCTCCGAACGAGGAATCCATTGGTGGGTCACACGCTCGGTTCGAGTCCTGTTCAGCGACTCTGGAGCTCAAAGCGCGTCTAGAATTTTGGCCGCCTGCACCGGTCTTCTGGCCCACCGTGCGCAGCGCGCTCGCCAAGTTCCTGCCTCGCTCTGCCGGGCCCGCCGCCCTGCAGCTCGCTCCCGAACACCGCCCTCGTCGCTCTGTCTCCCTCGCACTTCCCCTCGGGACGCCCCGAGAGGGCGAGAGAGACACACCACCGTTCGGAATCATCAGACCGCTGCAGCTCTGCTGGAGTCAGTTTCGTCGCGCTGTCTCTCTCGCACCCATACGGGACGCCCCACGAGTGCGAGAGAGACAGAGCGACTCTCGCAGCGCCCCGCCGCCGCGCGCCTTCCCTTCCCTCATCACTGTTCCTGTTCCGCTCTTGTTTGCAGACCCCGAGGGCAACATGGCGCCCAGGATTGAGCACGCCTTCGTCCTCAGCAGCGTCAGGGCGCGCGCCGGCAACCCCACGGACCTGGTGTGCGCCGCGCAGGGCTTCCCCCCGCCGGAGTACAGGTGTGTGTGTGTGCGTCTGCGCGTGTGTGTGTGTGTGTGTTAGTGTTGTGTGTGCATGTGTGTGTGTTAGTGTGTGTGCATGTGTGTGTGTGTGTGTGTGTGTGTGTGTGTGTGTGTGTGTGTGTGTGACGCGGCATGAGAAACGATACACAGCAGCATCGCGGCGAGTGTACACACGGCGGGGCAAACAATGCCGTTGGATTTCGTTGCATGTCGCTCCGGATTGCTTTCGGGTCTTCGGGTTCGCCGCTCCCGAGCCAACAAGCGACGTCGTCACGACCCCATCTTGGACGCATCCGAAAGTTAGGCGGTCGGAACGTCACCGTCACCCTCCCTTGTTGCAGGTGGTACCGCGAGATGGCGGGCGGTTCGCGCGAGCTGTCCCCCGGCCCCAGCGAGCCCCGCGTCCTGGAGTCGGTGCTGCAGTGGGTGCGCGTGTCCACCCTGGACGCCGGCCGCTACGTGTGCGTCGTGAGCAACGCCCTGGGCGAGGACCGGCGCGAGGTGGCGCTCGTGGTGGCCGCGCCGCTGGAGGTCCGCCTGCGGCCGCAGCACCAGGTCAGCGACCGTCAGCGACCCACAGTGGGCCGGAAGGGCGGTGGAGGCGGCCGAAACTCTAGACGCGTTTTGAGCTGCAGAGTCGCTAAATGGGAGTCGAAACGAACGTGTGACCCCACCAATCACTGTAAAAAAAATCCGTACTTTTGTACAGAAAAATAAAGTACGGAGGTACGGAGAAGAGTACGAAACGTTCCGTACTTGAATCCATGTAAATGGGTACGGGAAAAAAGTACGGAACGTTCCGTACTTGGCAAGTACGGACGTTCCAGGCAAATTATTGACCAGACATGCTCCGTACTTTTTCCGTACTTTTTTCTCACAGTGAATGGAGATGCATACCTGCAAGTACACACACACACACACACCTACAGATACATACTTAGCTGAGTACACGTCTACAGTACCCATCTGCAGATGCATTCTTGGATGAGTTAGGTATGCATTTGCAGATGTGTACTCAGCTGAGTATGCATCTGTAGACGTGTACTCAGTTAAGTATGTACCTGTAGACGTGTACTTGCAGGTATGCATCTTTAGACGCATACTGAGTACACACTTCAGTTTGTAGAGTGGAGTTCAAAACGCGTCTGGAGTCGTTGCCGCCTGCGCCGGTCTTCTGGCCCAATGTGCGACAACGCCCTTCTATAGAAGAGGCTTTGCTCTCCGTTTCGCTTGCTGTCTAACACTGCCGTGGCCTTGCAGGTGGTGGACGCGGGCGCGGTGGCGCAGTTCAACTGCTCGGTGTCGGGCGGCGCGGGCATGGTGCACGTGACGTGGCTCAAGGACGGGCGGCCGCTGCAGCCGCTGCAGCTGGCGCAGGGCGACCGCGTGCGCACCACGCAGACGGGGCAGCTCCACGGCCTGGAGGTGCGCCACCTGGAGCGCGGCGACCGCGGCATGTACCAGTGCGTGGTGCGGGCCGGCGAGGAGAGCGCGCAGGCCAGCGCCGAGCTGGAGCTGGGAGGTAACCGCCGTCTCAATGCTCGCTTGTCAAGACTCTGTTCCGCAGTGGGCCAGAACACCGGTGGAGGCGGTCAAAACTCTGGACGCCTTTCGAGCTCCAGTGTCGCTAAACAGGACTCGAACCGAACGTGTGACCCCACCAATGGATGCCTCGTTCGGAGAGCAATCCATTTGTGGGGTCACACGTTCGGTTCGAGTCCCATTTAGCGGCTCTGGAGCTCAGAACGCGTCCAGAAGTTTGGCCGCCTCCACCGGTCTTCTGGCCCACTGTGAGGCGGTCAAAACTCTAGACGTGTTCGAGCTCCAGCGTCGCAAAATTGGACTTGAGACGAACGTGTGACCCCATCAATGGATTGCTCTCCGAACGAGGAATCCATTGGTGGGGTCACACGTTCGGTAAGTCCTATTTAGCGACTCCGGAGCTCAAAACACGTCCATCTGGCCCACTGTGCGTTGTGTTGGTGTTCGCGCTGGTGTTTGAACCCACGTCCTTGCCCCACAGCCGTGGCGCCCCGCCTGCTGTCCACGTTCATCGAGCAGACGCTGCAGCCGGGGCCGCCGCTGTCGCTGCGCTGCGCCGCGAGCGGGTCGCCGCCGCCCCGCATCACCTGGCTGCTGGACGGCGGGGAGGTGCGGCCCGGCGCCGGCGGCAGCGACCTGTACCAGCAGGCCCAGCACCAGGACCAGCGCGGCGACGTGGTGGGCTCGCTCAACATGTCCTCGGTGCGCGTGCAGCACGGCGGCCTGTACACGTGCGTGGCGAGGAACATGATGGGCGCCGCGCAGCACACCGCGGCGCTCAACGTGTACGGGCCGCCGGTGAGCCGCGAGCCGCTCAACCTGACGGTGGTCTCGGGCTCGGACGTGTGGCTGCGCTGCCCCGTCGGCGGCTTCCCGCTGTCGCGCGTCGCCTGGCAGCGCGGCTCCACGCCGCTCACGCCCGGCGCGCCGTCGTCCGCCGCCACGGCCCACGTGTCCATCTTCACGAACGGCAGTCTGGTGCTGCGCGGCGTGGAGGCGGCCCGCGACGCCGGCGCCTACTCGTGCACCGCGTCCAACCAGCAGGGCCGCAGCGCCGAGGGCCGCCTGCACCTCCACGTCATGCGTGAGTACTCCATCCTTGGCAAGTCGCAAAAATCCCAGACGCGTTTTGAGCTCCAGAGTCGCTAAAAGGGTCTCGAAACGAACGTGTGATCCCACCAATGGATCGCTCTCCGAACGAGGAATCCATTGGTGGGGTCACACGTTCGGTTCGAGCCCTGTTCAGCGACTCTGGAGCTCAAAACGTGTAGAGAGTTTCGGCCGCCTCCGCCGGTCTTCTGGCCCTCTGTGCGACGCAGACCGTGAGCATGACGTCATTCCCCGCAGGTCCCCCCGAGATGGCGCCCTTCCAGTTCCCCAGCACGCTGGTCGAGGGCAACCGCGCCCAGGTGTCGTGCTCGCTCATCAGCGGCGACCTGCCCATCAGCATCTCGTGGCGCAAGGACGGAGGCCCGCTGCCGCGCGACCAGGCCGTCAACTCGCAGCAGATGGAGTTCTTCAGCCACCTCACCTTCAGCGACCTGCGCGCGCGGCACACGGGCCGCTACACCTGCATCGCCTCCAACGCGGCCGCCACCGCCAACTACAGCGCGGACCTGGTTGTCAGAGGTACAGTCCCTGGTGGCACTGCATTACCCGAGGGGGCCACCACTCAGGCGTACACAAGATTACGAGATTACGGGAAATTAACTGGGGATTTACGCCTGAAATTTTGGAAAGTTGATTCCTTTTGGAAAGTTGATTCAAAAACGCTCAAAAAATGGCTCAAAAACGTCGAAAAATGGCTCAATATCGCTGAAAAATGACAGAATTTTGTCAAGGATTACGAGATTACGGCATGGATTACCGGGGATTACCCGTCAATTTGTACCCAGCATTACGGGGGTGGTGGCCCCCTCGGCTTTACCCTATCTGTTTCTAACCTGACTGTACTTTTGGTGTAGTGGCCCCCACCTGGGTCGTGGAGCCATCCGACGAGGCCGCCGTCTTCCTGCAGCCCGCCGCGTTGCACTGCCAAGTTCGCGGCTACCCTCCACCCGTCACCATGTGGCTGCGCGAATCGGGTGAGTAGGCCGCGGGTTCGAATCCCCACGTAGCAAAATTTTTCTCCTGACTGTTTTTCACTGTCAACCTGGTGTCGCAGGGGACCCTCCCGGCGAGCCGCTGCTGGTCGAGTCCACGGTGGACACGCAGCTGGCGCCGAACGGGTCGCTGGTGTTCCCGCAGGTGCAGCCGCACCTGCAGGGCCACTACACCTGCCGGGCCTCCAACGACATCGGCCAGCCGCTCTCCAAGTCCGTCTTCCTGCGAGTGAATGGTGAGTGCCACGCTGTCTTTCCTGTGGTAGAGTGGGCCGGAAGACTGGTGGAAGCGGTCAAAAACCCGGACGCGTTCTGAGCTCCAGAGTCGCCAACCGAACGTGTGACCCCACCAATGGATTCCTCGTTCGGAGAGCAATCCAACAGTGGAGTCACACGTTTGGTTCGAGTCCCATTTAGCGACTCTGGAGCTCAAAACGCGTTGACCGCGGCCTCCACCGGTCTTCTGGCCCACTGTCGGGCGGCGACCACGCTGGACGCCAAACTGACCGTGCCCTCCTTTGCAGTGCCCGCCCACTTCCCCACGCGGCAGCAGAACGCCACCGCCGTGTCGGGCGGCGCGGTGACGCTGCGCTGCGAGGCGCTGGGCGACCTGCCGCTGCACGTGTCGTGGTCGCGGCCGGGCCTGCAGCAGTCCCTGACGGGCCGCACCAGCGAGCGACGCACCCCCTCCGGCGTCCCCGGCGTCGCGTCCGAGCTGCGGCTCAGCGGGCTGACGCGCGAACAGCAGGGCGCCTACCACTGCCACGCCAGCAACGACTTCGGCCAGGACGAGGCCGTCGTGCTCCTCGCCGTCAAGGGTGAGTCGCTGAGCTGCATCGCACAGTGGACCAGAAGACCAGCGCAAGGCGGCCAAGCCAAAACTGTAGACGCGTTTTGAGCTCCAGATTCGCTAAGGGGGACTCGAAACGGGTGAACACCAAGAAATCTGTACAGTTCGGATAGCCTCCATTGGTGGGGTCACGGTATTCGGTAAAGTACCAAAATTGCGGCACTTTGGGGCTCAAAATGGGATTCGGATCCCCTGTATTCGCGTTGCACTGTGTACAGGGTCCCAATGGCCGAGCCGCCTCGAGAAGCGCCTACTCATTGGACTCCTCGTTCCCCCAGAGCCATCCAGGCCGGGGCCGCGGCACATCCCTTTGCGGTTTGGGCCAAAACCCCCGGGGGCCCCCCCCCCCCCCCCCCCCCCCCCCCCGGGGGGGCCCGGGGTGGGGTGGACGGCGCCCGACGGCCAGGTCGAGCCGCTGGCACACTACCTGCTGCAGTTCATGGCGATGCACGACGACGGCGCCGGGGAGGCCCTGGAGGGCGTCTGGCAGAACGTGACGGTGCCCGGCTCGTCGCTGTCCGCCCGCCTGGTGCACCTCACCCCCGCCGTCACCTACCGCATCCGCGTGTTCGCAGTCAACGACCTGGGCCCCGGGCCCGCCAGCAACCAGGCGGCGGCGCAGACCATGCAGGAAGGTGAGCTGGCGGCCGTGCAGCATGACGACTTGCTGCTGCAGGACGCCCTCAGGGGAGACGTGACACTGTGGGCCAGGACACTGGTGGAGGCGAACAACCGCTAGACGCTTTTTGAGCTGCAGAGTTGCTAAATGAGACTCGAACGTGTGACTCTAGACGCGTTTTGAGCTCCAGGGTAGTTAAATTGGACTCGAACCAAACGAGTGACCCCACCAATGGATTCCTCGTTCGGAAAGCAATCCATTGGTGGGGTCACATGTTCGGTTCGAGTCCCATTTGGCGACTCTGGAGCTCAAAACGCGTCCGGGATTTCGACCGCCTCCACCGGTCTTCTGGCCCACTGTACGAGACCATCACTAACGGTGTGCTTCGCCTTTCCCCCAGCACCCAGCGGGCCGCCCACGGAGTTGAGGTTGGACGCCAGTCAACCGGAGTCCATCTTGGTGCGGTGGAGGGTGAGTATCAAACAAGCAAAGGCCCGTTGGAACTCAGTGCTGAAAACCCTAACCTATTTCTCCGGCAGCCCCCTCCGGCGTCCGTGGGGTCAGTGCTGGGCTACCAGGTGGGCTACCGGCCCGTGGATGACGACGGCGAGCGCGGTGCCGACGACGGCTGGGAGTGGCGGGTGGTGCGGGCGCCGCCGCGCGCCGCCGCGTCCGTCGTGTCCAACGCCATCAGCGACGGGCTGGAGACGACGCTGTCCTCGCTGCGGCACTTCACGCGCTACGAGGTGGTGGTGCGCGCCTTCAACCAGGTGGGCCACGGCCCCGCCACGCAGCCCATGCTGGCCCTCACGCAGGAGGGAGGTGAGTGAGTTGGAAAGTTCAATGCACGTTCCTGGGGGCGGCAACGCACAGTGGGTCATACCGGAGGCGGCTAAAACTCTGGACGCGTTTCGAGCTCCTGAGCCGCTTAACAGGACTCGAACCTAACGTGTGACCCCACCAATGGATTGCTCTCAGAACGAGGAATCCATCGGTGGGGTCACACGTTCGGTTCCGGTCCCATTTAGCGACTCCGGAGCTCAAAACGCGCCCGGGGTTTTGACCGCCTCCACCTGTCTTCTGTCCCACTGTGAGACCTAAACACTTTCCTTCCCCCAGTGCCGTCCGAGTCGCCGCAGAGCGTGCGCTGCGAGGCGCTGTCTCCGCAGGCCCTTCGCGTCCGCTGGGAGGCGCCCAGCCCCGGGCGCCAGCACGGCCTGCTGCAGGGCTACAAGGTGTTCTACCAGCTGCTGGCCGGTGCCGGCGCGCAGCAGGGCTCCGAAGAAGTGGAGGTGAAGCGGACCACCAACCTGGAGACCAACCTGCACGGCCTCGCCAAGTACGCCAACTACTCCGTGCGCGTGGCCGCCTTCACTGGGGCCGGCGAGGGCCTCCGCAGCCCCCCCATGTACTGCGTCACGGAGGAGGACAGTGAGTGTTTCACGTGTAGGCGGTGGAGCGCCTTCCTTGGCCGGTCAGTCTCAATGTGTGACTCTTCTTACAACAGTCCCGGGCCCCGTGGAGCACATCAAGGCCCTCGTGATGACGTCGGATAGCGTACTGGTGGCGTGGTCCAGGCCGCTGCAGCCCAACGGCGTGGTCGTCAAGTACACGGTGTACCGCGCGCAGCAGCCCGCTCGCATGGTGAGTGTTCTGACGCACAGTGGGCCAGAAGACCGGTGGAGGCTGTCAAAATCCCCGACGCGTTTTGAGCTCCATAGTCGCTAAATGGGACTTGAGCCGAACATGTGGCCCCACCAATGCATTGCTCTCCAAACGAGGAATCCATCGGTGGGGTCACACGTTTGGATTAAGTCCCACTCAGCGACTCTGGAGCTGAAAACGCGTCTAGAGTTCCGGCCGCCGGCGCCAGTCTTCTGGTCCACGACGCCCTTCTGTCCAAGGGCCCCTTAAAGATCCTTCTCTCTGCCGCAGGACTTCCACAAGGAGACGGTCCCCGGTGATCGGGAGCCGCTGTTGGAGGCGCGCCGCCTGGTGGAGAACCAGACGTACGAGTTTTGGGTGACGGCGTCCACCGCCGTCGGGGAGGGGCCGCCCAGCGTCAAGGTCAAGCAGCGGCCCGTGTCCAGAGGTAGTGTTTTCCGACGAAATGGTTTAGACTACACTCTAAATGTAGGGTGCCCAGAAACTGGGCGCCTTTGTCGCCCGCCCCACTTTTTAGGGTGCCAAATGTCTCCCAGTTCCTGGGCACTTTAGTCGTCTAGTCTTGGGGTGGACAAACCATTAAGCAACCTGCCTTCACCCATGGCTCAGCAGCGACTAACGTGCCAGAGGTGCCCAGAATCTGGGCACCTTAGTCGCCCAGGAACTAGTCACGTGCATGCCCTACCATGAGAGAGGGCCGGTAACTGAATGATTTGTCCACCCCGAGACTGTACGACAAAGGTGCCTAGAAACTGGGCGACATTTGGCACCCTAAAAAGTGGGGCGGGCGACAAAGGCGCCCAGTTTCTGGGCACTCCATATTTAGAGTGCAGGGCCGGATTGTGGCGTGACCGGCGGGTGGCGGTTGCCTCATCGCTGGTTCATTTGCTGTTGGCAGTGCCGGCTCGCATCGCCTCCTTCCCGCGGTCCATGCTGGCGTCGGCGGGCTCGCCCGTGGTGCTGCCGTGCCACGCCGTGGGCAGCCCCGCGCCCAGCCGCGAGTGGCGCGGCCCGGACGAGGCGCGCGTCGCGACCGGCCGCCACCGCCACCTCGCCGACGGCGCCCTGGAGCTGGGCGTCGTGACGCCCGAGGACGCGGGCAACTACTCGTGCCGCGTGGAGAACGTGTTCGGCACCGACCGCGTCGACTACAACGTGCAGGTCGTGGTGCCGCCCGCCGCGCCCCACGGCGCCATGAGCGGCGCCGCGCACAACATGCTGCACCTGTCCTGGAAGGCGCCCGACAACGGCGGCTCGCCCATCACCGGTGAGCCCACCGTCAAAATTTGTTGGCACATGACGGAAAAACCGTGGGTGATAATTTCCATCACTTGAAAATGACGACTAGTGACTAGTTTTATCACAAATTAATGACATTTTCATCAACTCTAGCTATAGGCCTTTCCAGGATAAGCTCTTAGGGCAATGACCCAAATCTTTGCGCCGCCACACTTTAAGATCCAGCATACATATTTGCGGCGAAACGGACTTGAACTCAGTGATAACTAGAGTATCAATAACACTGTGTTCAGTTCCATTTGGCTGCACAGAAGTTGCTTCTTGAAGTGTGGTGGCGCAAAGTTTAGGTTATCGCACGAAAAGCTTAGCCTGGAAAGGTCTATTGAATCGGCGTGCTCACAATGTCATCATCAGGTTTGATGACGTTCTTGTCAGAAAAATTAGCCTTGAGATTGTCGTCAAGCGACGACCAAAATTTTTCAGTGTCGTCGGCCTCTCTTTCTTCTCTAAATCCGAACACTGGTGAAACCAAAGCACAACTCGATGCTTGAGTCCACTTGAATTGAAGCATACACTGGAAATTCCCCCATACATTTAGACAGGAGAAACTTGGTGGATGTGCCTGTTGTGCTTGATGTCAATCGTAATCTGAAAACGCTTGAATACAGAGGTTAATACTGCGCTTTAGTTTTACCAGTGGAGGCAGGTTTCTTAGTGGGTTCGTCTGCTGCAGGGTACGTGGTGTCCTACCGCCGCGAGCGCGGAGAGTGGATGGAGGGGACGACCGACGCGGACCGGCGGACGCTCACGCTCGTGTCCCTCAAGTGCGGCAGCGCGTACCAGGTGCGCGTGGCGGCCGTGAACGCCGTGGGCCGCGGCCCCTTCAGCCACGCCATGAGCTGCAAGACGCTGGGCGGGCCGCCGCAGCCCGCGCGCCAGGACACGGTGCTGGCCGTCAACGCCACGGCCGTCACGCTGTTCCCGGACACCTGGCCGTCGTCGGGGTGCCCGCTGCTGTACCTGGTCGTGGAGATGAAGGCCTCCGCCGCGGTGCCCGGCGCGGGGCCGTGGTCCGTGGGGCCGTGGAGCGAGTGGAAGCTGGTGACGAACGCGGCGCGCGCGCAGGACGACCTGACCCTGCCCGACCTGTCGCCGGCGTCCTGGTACGCGCTGCGCGTCACGGCGCACAACGACGCCGGCTCGCACACCCAGGAGTTCGTGGTGGCCACGAGCGCCGAGGACGGCACCATGCCGCCGCCGCGCTCCGCCCCCGAGCTGCTGTCGCCCGGCGACGCGCCGCCCCTGCTCACGCGCATGCACGTCCTGGTGCCCACCGTGGCCGCCGCCATCTGCGTGTCCGCGGTGGGCGTCTGCATCGTCACGGTGGCGAGGAGGAGGTGCGTAGCGTGCACCGGATGGCAAGACCGAGACCCACAGTGGGCCAGAAAACCATTGGAGGCGGCCAAATTCTAGCCACGTTGAGCTCCAGATTCGCTAAGAGGGACTCGAACCGAACGTGTGACCCCACTAATGGATTGCTCTCCGAACGAGGAATCCATTGATAGGGTCACACGCACGATTCGAGTCATGTTTAGCTACTCTGGAGCTCAAAACGCGTCTGGAGCTTTGGCCACCTCCGCATGTCCTTAGGTCCACCGTGCCACGTCGACGACCGTCCCTCAACTCCTCTCTGCCCACAGGAAGGACTCCAGCGCCGGCGGGGCCAGCGGCTTCATCGGCACCAAGACCCTGGCCGAGGTGGAGAACAGGCGCAACCAGGACCACCATCACCACCAGCAGCAGCGCCACCACCAGCACCTGCAGCAGCACCCGCAGCTGTACTCGCCGGCCGCGGCCAGGAAGGGCGACTCGAGCATCAGCGGCCAGAAGGGTAGCGACACGTCCGGTGAGGATGGCGGCCAGCAACCGCCTGACACTGAAAACCCAAACGTGGTCTAGACCACACCAACCGATGTGGTCAAAATGGCACCCATTTGACCACACCAGTGGTGTGGTCTAGACCACGTTTGGGTTTTCAGTGGATTCAGCAGTGTTACGTCGCTCTGTCTCGCTCGCACTAGAGTGGCATCCTACGGAGAGAGACAGAGCGACAAACACTGATCGAAAAGTACGTCCCCAGCCCCTGCTGACGCCACTCTCTGTCCCGCAGCCGCGGACTACGACATCTGCCCGTACGCGACGTTCTCGCTGTCCAACGCGCAGCCCACCGTGCCGGTGGCCGTGCCGGTGGCCGTGCCGGGGACGGGCCTCGGCGCGCGCAGCCCCGCGCCCGACTACTCGCTGCAGTTCCAGACCTTCTCCCAGCGCGACTGCTACGACGCGGTGCCGCGCCGCTCCCTCAGCAGGCCCGCCCTGGCGCTGTCGCACGGCCAGGGCCTCGGCCAGGGCCTGCCGCAGGACGGCTACTACGGCAGCAGCGCCGTCAAGCGCCACCAGGGCAAGCGCATCGTGGACAGCCCGCCCGACGGACTCAACCTAGGTGCGCCAGGTGACTCACCCTTCCGCCGCAGTCTGACCCCGTCCAACAGTGGGCCAGAAGACCGGTGGAGGCGGTCAAAGGCCCGGACGCGTTTTGAGCTCCAGAGTCGCTGAACGGGACTCGAACCAACCGTGTGACCCCACCAGTGGATTGCTCGTTCGGAGAGCAATCCATTGGTGGGGTCACACGTTCTGTTCGAGTCCTTTTTAGTGAGTCTGGAGCTCAAAATACGTTTAGAGTTTTGGCCGCCTGCGCCGGTCATCTGGCCCACTGTGCGTCTCGTCGTCTTAACCGCCGCCTGCTGTTGCAGAGATTTCCTGCATCTCGAGCCAGCAGACGCTGCCGATGACGGCCACGAACCACCGCAACCAGCAGCACCAGCAGCAGCAGGGGAAGCACGACCGGAGCCGCTCGGGTGGGCCTTTTGTCCGCAGTGTGGCGACAGATTGCAGCATTCGCACAGTGGGCCAGAGGACCGGCAAAACTCTAGACGCGTTTTGAGCTCCAGCGTCGCTGAATGGGACTCGAATCGAACGTGTGACCCCACCAATGGATTGCTCTCCGAACGAGGAATCCATTGATGGGGTCACACGTTCGGTTCGAAGCCTGTTCAGCGACTCTGGAGCTCCGCGTCGAGAGTTTTGGCCGCCTCCACCGGTCTTCTGGCCCACTGTGATTCGCCACTCTCTAACTCCGGTCTCGTTCCGCTTCCAGGGAGCCGGCCCCGCAGTCTGGCGCTGGCCAACCGGTCCGACTCGGACAGTTCCGGCGTCGGCGGCGGCAGCCCTCGCAGGGCGTCGCCGCACAAGATGCCCCTCAGGATGTCCACCCCCGGCCAGCGCACGGCAGGTCCGTTCCGCGTTTCCCAAGACCGAGGCAGTGGGTCAGAAGACCGGCGCAGGCGAAGGAAACTCAAAACGCGTTTCGAGCTCCGGAGTCGCTAAATGGGACTCGAATCGAACGTGTGACCCCACCAAAGGATTGCTCTTCGTTCGAGTCCCATTCTCCAGAGTCGCTAGATGGGACTCGAACCGAACGCGTGACCCCATCAATGGAATGCTCTCCGAACGGGGAATCCATTGATGGGGTCACACGTTCCGTTCGAGTCCCATTTAGCGACTCTGGAGTTCAAAACGCGTCTGGAGCTTTGGTTGCCTCCACCGGTCTTCTGGCCCACTGTGCGCAGTGGGCCGGAAGACAGGCGCAGGCTGCCGAAACTCTAGACGCGTTTTGAACTACAGAGTCGCCAAACAGGACTCGAACCAAACGTGTGACCCCATCAATGGATTCCTCGTTCGGAGAGCAATCCATTGATGGGGTCACACGTTCGGTTCGAGTCCCATCTAGCGACTCTGGAGAATGGGACCCGAACGGAGAGCAATCCTTTGGTGGGGTCACACGTTCGATTCGAGTCCCATCTAGCGACTCTGGATGGAGTCTGGAGCTCAAAACGCGTCCGGGATTTTTGACCGCCACCACCGGTCTTCTGGCCCACTGAGCGAGGCCTGTGTCTCGTGCGTGTTGTTCACGTTCTCGTGTTCGCAGACCGGCGCGCGTTCGAGCACGACTCGAGCACCGAGTCCGCCGAGGCGTCGCCCGAGCCCTCGCGGCGCGCGCGCCGCAGCAACGGCTCCACGGGCAACGGGCCGCACCGGAGGGGGATGCCAGCAAGGTAGCGCAAGTAGGTCCCTTTGAGTCCTGTCATGCTTGTCGTGCTTGTCGCTGGGCTGCTCGGCATGGCGACGTCAGTGACGTCACATCACGCACCTGCACGGCGAGCATGCTCCGCACCGCCCCCTGAGCGCACGATGAAAAACAGAATGAATTTATTAAGTCCAACACAATGTCATACGGTGAAAAGCTGCACCAATATATTATGGTGGATATTTTCTCCAAAATACCAACAAAATTCGTCAAAATATGTATAAGGTACAGTGAATTCTCAATGGTATGTTACGAGGTCAGCTGCACCACCATAATATGGAACATTTTCACCATAATATGGAGAATCTTCACTGTAAAACATTTAGAGTGAATCCAATTCTATTACCTCTTTTAACTCCCAGTTGGTCTGCCTGTGCGTCCATTCGGATCTTAGTATGTACCCGTCTTGGTGTCATTCCTCCCAGCCGATTTCCCGGTGCACGCATCCCCAACCCCTTACGAGGTTTGCTGTAGGTATCCGGTGTTGCCAAACAAGAAAATTTCTTCCCCAAATTTATCATAGTAAAATTTGAAATATTGAAACACTTTGCTGAAAAATAGAGGTTTTGCGACACTGGCGACGTGCTGGCGGCACAGCCCGAGCGCATCGTACACACTCTAAATGTTCTACCGTGAACATTCTCCATATTATGGTGAAAATGTTCCTTATTATGGTGGTGCAGCTGACTTCGTAACATACCATTGAGACTTCGCTGTACCTTATAGATATTTTGACGAATTTCGTTGGTATTATGGAGAAAATCTCCACCATAATATGTTGGTGCAGCCTTTCACCGTAAGGCATTTACAGTGCAGCCCCGTCCCTGCCTCCCCGTTGCAGGCTGCACAAGTCACTGAAGGGGAGCGCTGGGAGCGCGGGCAGCGCGGGCAGTGGGGGCAGCGCGGGGAGCACGGTGCCGCTGGACCCGCCGGCCGCCTTCTCCGACGGCGTGGACCTGTCCGACGCGGACGGCGACGGCAGCCCCGACCTCCAGGAGCGCGGCGAGGACCGCGGCACCCTGGGCGGCACACTGGGCGGCACACTGGGCGGCACCGGCCGCAGGGACCACGAGGAGCGGGAGCGGGCGCGCCAGCTCGCCGCGCTCGTGCGCAAGTACGTCCCCGTCCTCCGCTCGGCCCTCCGCACGGCGGGCTACTACTCAGCAAACTCAAGTGTGTGCCTGCAGGCACACACTTCCTGGTGCATCCCTGGCAGGCACACACTTCCTGGTGCATCCCTGGCAGGCACACACTTCCTGGTGCATCCCTGGCAGGCACACACTTCCTGGTGCATCCCTGGCAGGCACACACTTCCTGGTGCATCCCTGGCAGGCACACACTTCCTGGTGCATCCCTGGCAGGCACACACTTCCTGGTGCATCCCTGGCAGGCACACACTTCCTGGTGCATCCCTGGCAGGCACACACTTCCTGGTGCATCCCTGGCAGGCACACACTTCCTGGTGCATCCCTGGCAGGCACACACTTCCTGGTGCATCCCTGGCAGGCACACACTTCCTGGTGCATCCCTGGCAGGCACAGACTTCCTGGTGCATCCCTGGCAGGCACACACTTCCTGGTGCATCCCTGGCAGGCACACACTTCCTGGTGCATCCCTGGCAGGCACACACTTCCTGGTGCATCCCTGGCAGGCACACACTTCCTGGTGCATCCCTGGCAGGCACACACTTCCTGGTGCATCCCTGGCAGGCACACACTTCCTGGTGCATCCCTGGCAGGCACACACTTCCTGGTGCATCCCTGGCAGGCACACACTTCCTGGTGCATCCCTGGCAGGCACACACTTCCTGGTGCATCCCTGGCAGGCACACACTTCCTGGTGCATCCCTGGCAGGCACACACTTCCTGGTGCATCCCTGGCAGGCACACACTTCCTGGTGCATCCCTGGCAGGCACACACTTCCTGGTGCATGCCTCAGGCACACACTAGCCGTCGCTTGTGCGTGCATACAAGCAAGTGTGTGCCTGAGGCATGCACCAAGAAGTGTGTGCCTGCCAGGCATGCACCGGTAAGTGTGTGCCAGCAGGCATACACCAAGAAGTGCATGCCTGGCACACACTTGAGTTTGCAGAGTATAAGACCGGTGAAGGTGGTCAAAATCCCTGATGCGTTTTAGAGCTCCAGAGTCGCTAAATGGGACTTAAATCGAACGTGTGACCCCACCAATGGATTGCTCTCTGAACGAGGAATCCATTGGTGGGGTCACACGTTCGTTTCGAATCCCATTTAGCGACCCAGGAGCTCAAAACGCGTCCAGAGTTTTGGCCGCCGCCACCGGCGTCTTCTGGCCCACTGTGCTCCGTTCGGATTGCTGTTCCGTTTGTGTCCTCAACTGCGACGCTTACTTCTGCAGGTACAGACAGAAGCGCGAGCTGAAGCAGGACTTCACGATCCACGTGTGACCCTGGTGGACCGTGGACCTGACCCACCTGTCCACGTCCTCTCTCCGTCGCCTCCTCTCTCGGCAGTGACCGCGCAACGCGTCGCAATCGCCATGCCCCGAAGGCAGCCATCGCACTGTTGACTGATTCCGAGTCGGTTTGTCTCTCTCGCACCCTCGCAGGGCGCGCCATGAGTGCGAAAGAGAGGGAGAGAGACCTCCCGCTCGGAATGAGTCCGCCGCGACCGCGCCGCCGCCATCCCGAAGCCCCCGGCTGAAACCAATACGCGGTTTTTCATGAGACTGCACCTTTTACACGACTTCTGTGATAACAGCAGCCACACTGTGGCTGCGACCGGCGGAGGCTAGCCGTCAAGGTCTTCGCCGGCCTTTTACTATTTTCTCCAGAGTGCAACCGTTCTGTGATGTGGTAGAGACTTTTTTATTTTTGTACAGTTCTATGTCGATATATCGTGGCGAATATCGCGCCTATACGCAGCGTTGGATTGTGGAGAGGCCTGTTACTGTCAGATTGTTTTATGTCGAGAGCGCTAGTCGTTTCGTTGTTGTGTAGTTGAATATTATCTGATTGTTGTCTTTGTGTGTTGGGCTCACAGAGTTTAGTAGTGGGAGAATGAGTGTACGCTGTGTATGATTCTGTTGCTGATGCTGATCATTGTCTGATCCGTACATAATACGTATTTTATTAATACTGTATTTGTTAGTCTTTATACTAAATGGAAATAGGTTTAAGTCGGCAAACTGGCATGCAGTTGCAGGGACGTTGTTTCTCTGTGGCCTTGCCTCCAGGCGACACCCGTTTCCTTTCCTTCTAGTTTGTATTGTCGATTATGTTCGATGCCAGGGGGCAACAAAAAAGTCCAAATGATGTAAACATGACCACAAAATGAACGATTTTAGTCAAATTTTAGTCCATTTTGATGGCGTAATGACATCATTTGATGTCGTGGTGACCAGATTTTGACTAACTGTTCTCCTTGGGACTGTGTGGCTGTCTCCTCGTCTTGTTCTTGATTGTTGATGTTAACCGTCCCTCTCCGTGCCTTTCTCGGAAACGCCCTGGGGCCTCGTGCCAACCATTCCAAGTCGGCTGTATTGAAAGTGCATTTTCACTCAGACAAATAAAATACCATTTTTTAAATTACTGAAACGGCTGTCTTTCTTCGCCTCGACCCTGTCCTCCGAAACGAAGAGCCCGCCCGATGCGGCGTCGTGGCTTGGTGTATCGCCGCCGCAAGTGGTCTCGCGGGGTATCGCTGGCGAGTCGTACACGGGGTATCGCCGCTTTCTTGTCTGCTTTCTCGGCTGGTACGGCCGGTACGGCTTGGCACCCGCCACTGCTTTTGAACCGAATCGTTTAAAGTCATCCTGTAAATTAAGCACTACAACGACATGAGAACACTTTTAAAAAAAATGTGCAAACACCTCGCATGGTGCATAGCCTGCTTGTCATTCTGAAAAACAAATGCTACCGTAGCAGACGACACGTGCGAGAACAACAAACAGAATCTCAAAATGGCAGTCATGTGGCGCGTGTGTGATCTGGATCCGCAATCCAAGTTCAACTCGTCTTATTCAGTTTCCATGCAAACTTAAATTCGTTGTCCTTCGGTTTGTAGTGGAGTAACAGCCGTGCACTTCCGAAAGACACGCGACTCACAGAGACGGCTTCGTCGGTCACGGCCGCTCCGCGACGCGCAGCCAGAACGACTTGGGCGTCACCAGCACGCCGGGGATCATGTCCTCCTCCGAGGGCAGGTAGCCGTCGGCGGAGACGGCGAAAGAGTAGTTCTGCAGCAGCGCCGACAGGTACAGGAACATGGTCTGTCTGGAGAAGGTCTCCCCGGCGCACAGCCGCTTGCCTGCCAACACAGCCGCCAAGCGAGCTTGGGAACTCTGACAGCTTCACTGGGCCAGAAGACTGGTGGAGGCGGTCAAAATCCCGGACGCGTTGTAAGCTCCGGAGTCGCTAAATGGGACTCGAACCGAACGTGTGACCCCCACCAATGGATTCCTCGTTCGGAGAGCAATCCATTGGTGAGGTCACACGTTCGGTTCGAGGCCTGTTCAGTGACTCTGGAGCTCAAAACGCGTCCAGAGTTTTGGCCGCCGGTGCCGGTCTTGTGGCCCACTGTGCACAATAGACGGACAAACTAGCCGCACACACACAGCAGGCGAGAGGACCCAGCCGACTGCGAAACATGCTGATCAACTGTGGTCCGGCAGCCTCTCAAGTCACGGAGCCTCTTAGGCCACCCAACCTACAGCATTGTGCGGCGGGCGGGCGGGCGGCGTACCATTACCATTAATGGCTAGACCACACATGATAGTATGCCATTTCGGGCCTGACACATGCTCGCCTGCACTGCAACACTCTCATTCCAGGAACGTAACATCACGTTGAAACGAACGTGACAAAATGTCACGTTCGTTTGAGCACTGTGTCACGTTCGTTTGAAGGTGAACAAGCTGATTTTTGGCCAATTCACACCCAAACGAATGTGACACAATGCTCAAACGAATGTGACGTTTTGTCACGTTCGTTTCAACGTGTTGTCACGTTCCTGGAATGAGAGTGAAAACGAGACATACGTACCGAGTCCGAAGGCCATCGTGGGGTCCTTCTTCTTGAGCGTCCCCGTCCTGGAGTCCAGGAAGCGCTCCGGCACGAACTCGTCACCCTTCTCGAACACGGCGGGGTCGCGGTTGGCGGCCCAGATGTTCGGGATGAGCAGCGTGCCCTGCGAGAGGTCCAATGCCAATCCATCCGGAACAAAAACTACACTCTAAGTGCCCCAAAAAGAAATTTTCCATTTAATTGTTTTCTCCCTATGCTTACTGTACCTTCGGCACGAAGTACTCGCGGAAAAACGTGTCCTCCGTGCATTTGTGTGTCACGGACAGCACTGTGTTGGTGTCCAGGCGCAGAACCTCTCGGAGGATGGCCTCAGTGTAGGGAAGGCTTTAAAATCAAAAGTATCTCAGTTAAAAAGACGCCTCACAGTGTATCCGAAGACGGCTGGAGGCGGTCAACATCTTGGACGCGTTTTACAAGTCGCTTGCGATTCGAACCCATCGTGCAACTCCCAGGGATCCTTAACTTACCTCATAAGGGCATCATAACGTTATGATAAGAGTTAAAGTGATTACCCTTAACTTCTAACATCTTTTCAAATTACTTTTTTCGAGGCATAAAAAGTACTTTCATTAGTCCGTACCCTTAACCTTTAGCGAACATCGTCTTATGTTACGTTATGAAAGCAGTGTTAGTTAAATGTTAAGATAAGTTAAGGATCCCTGGCAACTCCACCAATGTATTGCTCTTTGAACGAGGAATCCATTGGTGGGGTCGCATGCTCGGTACTCAAAGCGCGCACTGGTAAAACAAAGGCATAAAAATTACGCCCTTTAGGGCATAAATGCTCTTTTACGCCCTTGCAAGGGCATAAATCGTCTTATGCCCTTGGGAAGGGCGTAAATGGTATGGGAATTTCAAGCAAAATTTTAATGCCCTTCCCAAAGGCATTAACGATTTATGCCCTTTAAGGGCATAAGGGGCATAAGGGCATAATTTTTATGCCTTTGTTTCACCAGTGCGTCTAGAGTTTTGGCCGCCGGCGCCGGTCTTCCGGCCTGTGCGCCGCTTATCAGAGTCTTTCTTTACTGTCTTTACTGTGTACTCTATAGAGTAAACTCTGAACTGTAAAATGTGTACAGTACGCGTGTTACTTGCCTGGGCCGGTCGTCCAGGGTGGGCAGCCGCCCCCTGCCGACCACCGCGACGATCTCCCGGTGGGCGGCGTCCTGCTTGTCGGGGTGCTGCGCCAGGTAGGACAGCGCCATGGCCACGGTGACGGGGGGCACGGTGGACACGGGGAACAGGTAGTCCACCAGCACCATCACCAGCTGCTTGTCTATCAAAACAGATTTACATCTAAGTGTATTTTAAACAAAAGCAATTTTTTTTTTCAAATTTTTCATTGAAATTGAAACGCATACCTGTGAAGTGAGAGTCCGGTCGCTTGTGCATCTCGGCGAGGAACACGTCGACGAAGCCGCGCAGCGCGTTCTCGTCGAAGGAGCCCTTCTCCTTCTCCAGCAACTCCTGTCGACAAAATTAGTAGTTTATTGAGCAAGGGAAATTTTTTGCTCAAATTTGTTTGCAGAATCGCGCAAATTCGAGCCAATAACAGGATGCGCGAAATTGTGTGAGGACAATAAATTGTGCAACCAAATGTAGTCATTTTTTTCAACCGAGGAAAAATAACTTCAGCAAAATTGTAAACCAAATTTCGCCAAAAAATTTAAAATTTACAAAATGTTATCTAAATTCTTCTCAAAATTCAGTAGTTTTTTGGCAGCAATTCGCATTGAAATTCAACTGAAACTCATTTGATCTGTACACCAAAGTTCACAGTGATTTTCCCCTAGCTAGCTCTGAACCGCCAAACTCACGTCCACGAAGTCCAGCACGCCCTGGTTGCCGCGCTGGAAGCCCGTGACGCGCATGGTGTCGGGCAGCAGGTGGCGCGCCCAGGGCGTGATGTTGACGGCGCCGCCGCTGGGCTCCACGTGCCGCTGGAAGAGCCGCACCGCGCGGCTCAGCCCGCGCAGTTTGTCGTGGCGGTCTCGCGGCACGCGCTCGCCCGTCAGCGTCTCCAGCATCGCGTTGATGAAGCCGGGGTACAGCAGGTCGGGCAGCAGCACCTCTCCGTCCCGCACCATGCCCTGCAGCGGGACGCCCCAAATGTATTTGTACAAATTTTGTACGACACATCACAGTTTTTTTTTGTGCACACGAACTTTTCGTACAAATTTGTGCAAAATTTTGTACAAGTTTGTACAAAAATGGCGAAAAATGTGCAATTTTTCGTACGAAAATTTCGTGTGCTCTAAAAACTGTGATGTCTCGTACAAAATTGTACATAACATTAAGTGTGGACAACGCGCCAAAGGCGTACTTCATTTTGGAGGCGCAACCATAGCAAAAATAGTCTCATACCGCGGGAAAAAAACGAAAATTTTGCAACCGTCATAGTTAATTGTTTCGAGTACATTTAAATTTGATTCAAGTTCGCTTCCATTGATCTTAAGTTAATTTAAATATTTTTACACGTTCAGTTTCACTGAAGTTCAAGTTTATATAAATTCCAACTCAATAACACTTTCGCAGCTTGGTTCTCTGTCTGTCTGTCTGTCTGTCTGTCTGTCTGTCTCTCTCTCTCTCTCTCTCTCTCTCTCTCTCTCTCTCTCTCTCTCTGCCCTGCACGCACCTTTTCGGCGGCCACGGGGCTGCGAATCGAGTCCAGCAGCGTGCGGACCTCCTCCTCGGTGGCGGCCTCCATCTTGGCGAAGCGGCGGCCGAAGCCGAAGTCCCGCATGTGGCGCAGCGAGAAGCGGCGCTGCTCCGCCCAGAGGGGCCCCTCCGTGAAGAAGATCCCTGTCGGACAGAGAGGCGTCAGTCTCAGACCGACAACGGTACGTTGTGGTAGCTTTGGGACACGGAGTATGCCAGCTGTCTCCTGAACACCACTGCAAAGCCAGTGGTAAGTTTGCTTGCCACAATTTTTTTTTGCTTTTATGCTTTTATTTCAAAATTAACATTCCCCACCCCACAGCTCGTTGAAGCTGCGCAGCCGGGCGGTGAAAATGTCCGGCCTGCCCTGGAACTCGGGCTTGAGCAGCAGCTCTCTGGTCGACGCGAAGTCGGTCGTGATGATGGTGGGCGAGGAGCCGAAGTACATGCCCAGCACGGGGGACTTGTACTTGGCGGCCATGGCGACGAGCCCCTTGTGCGTGTAGCGGTAGTTGTAGGCCAGCAGGTGCAGGTAGCCGCCGTAGACGGGCAGGCGTGGTGGCCCTGTCAACATGAGGTCGTTATTTTTTGCCATTGACCAACAAAAAACTAATCCCAAACTAGAAACCCTTTCCAGACCACTCTCCTTCAACCCCCTCATTATCTGTGAACTAAATGTGCTACTTTGAGCCTGTCGATTGGAAGCCAGTCTTATCGTCTGTCCATAGATAGAGCATAGAGGCTGATTTATCTATGCAAATGTAAGCCACGTCAATCCAGGCGCCAATTCATTTGATGTTAATTCTCAGTGACGTGCCACTGTAAAAAAAAGCTCCATACTTTCCACTTGTTTGTTGTGTGCTTTGACGCCATGTAACACCGTTTGTTGTTGACACCATGCTTGGCCCGCACTTGAACTTGCAGAGTATAGCTAAGTTGAACTTGGACAATTGGGGCACTCTCAAAACCTTACAAAACTATTTAAGGCTAAGCAGGCTCTTGGCTCTTATAACAAATTATTTTGAGCATACATAAGCTTCTAAAGGAAAAACTTCACAATTTTCTGACTATTTCTTCGTAGAACAAACTAATCAGTCTGTACCTTACACATGCTCAATGGACTTTGCAAGGTTTCAAGCGTGCCGTGTATCTCGCTTCGCATCACTGGCGGCCGATCACACTGAATGTTTTAGTACAAATTTTGTAAGAGACATCACAGTTTTTTGAGCACACGAACTTCTAGTACAAATTTGTACAAAACTTTGTACAAAACTAGCGAAAAATGTACAGTTTTTCGTTCGAAAATATTGTACGAAAATTTCGTGTGCACAAAAAACTGTGATGTTTCGTACAAAATTGTACATAACACTTAGTGTGATGGAGGTGGGCACTGACCTGGCGGGAACATGGGCGGCCGGTCCCGGACGAATTTGATTAGGCAAGCAATGAGTCCACAGAGGAACAGCACGACCAAGAGGGGCTGCATTCTTGTTGCTTTCACTAGACGCGAGGACGCACTGCTCTGGGACGCTGTCTGCTGCGGACACGGTCAACCACTGACAAGTCGAGGACAGAATAAGGTGAACTATTTTCTGTCCGATTAGATTATCACTCCATGCTGGTTGCTGCGCGACCGAGAATGGGGTTGCCAGGCACTTGTAAAACCGTCTCCGCTTCCTACACTGCAGACCGTGAGCCGTTTTCGTCGCTCTGTCTCTCCCGCACCTGTACGGTACGCCCTATGAGTGCGAGAGAGGCGGAGCGACGAAAACGACTCTCGGAGTCTGCTGGTCGAAGAGGGCCAAGTTCCGTGCCGGCTGTGTCGGGACGCGGTCGCGGGCGTTAGCTTACGAGTTTATCTCCAGATAAAAAGGTGGAGCGCGAATTGTTTACTACTGTTGTCTTATTTCATTCCGCTTTCGCTTGCAATCAGTTTTGGACTTCACGACGAAAATGAAATTGGTACGGGGAAGCCACCGATAGTGGGCGGCAATACTCCGAGCTGAAGTGACATCTTTCCCGTGGAGTATCTCCACTCTGCCATTTCTTTTGTGACTGATAGTACGTTTGAAGAACCCTCTTACTTGGTACGCTCGCACCTTCAGTCGCAAGAGAAATGGCCCCGACAACACTCCGAGCTGAAGTGACATCTTGGGCATGGAGTATCTCCACTCCGCTGTTATTTCTTTGGTCGGTGGTAAACCAACTGAACAGTGCACTGTGTGCTCTCTTCCTCCTCTGGGTGGCCAATGAGCTATTTTACGAATAAGAAGAAGAAAAGAAGACGGCTACCCCACCCACCCGCACCGCCCCACTCGGAACATAACAAACTTTTCGAACTTGTTCGAACAAGTGAGGGTTTGTTATGTTCCGAGCTTGTTCGAACAAGTGGGGGTTTGTTATGTTCCGAGCGGGGCGGTGCGGGTGGGTGGGGTAGCCGTCTTCTTTTCTACTTCTTATTCGTAAAATAGCTCATTCCAGGAGAGTCGCTTCTCGTCCTCCTGCTCCGTGTACACCCACAGACGCACCCTCACGAGAATTGTCAAGAGTTTATTAGGGCTGTCCAAGAAGAAATGGACAGCCCCTCCAAAAATTTGTCATAATCATCATCTTCCTGCATGGAGCTGAGAGAGCGGGGCGGGCGTCCTGATGAACAGGCGCCGTATCTGCGGGGCGCGAGGCGCGCGACGCCGAAGACAGGCAGCGCCCTCTGTCGGCGGCCGGCGACAACGGCGACCCTTGCGGCGTGGGCGCAGCGTGAGTGGCGTGTCGCAGCGAATTCCGTGTCTCACGTTGCGTCGAACAGCTACACCGACATAATATGACGAGATTCTATCCATTACTACACTAAATACATTCGACAAAATATCTGCAAGGTTTTCAAGAATTTTCAGCGGCAAGTTTCGAGGTCTGTTGCTGCTGCACCGCCCAAATTTTTCGTTCTTCCAACGCAATTTTCGTTACTGGAACAAAAAATCTTAGTTGGGCCAAAACCAACCGAAACATTGGTTGGACCAACTAATTATTTTTTTTCCGTGCGTTGCAGCAAATTGCTTCCTTGAAGAAATGCCTTTTCAGGAGTGGACACAATCATGCCAGCAGGTGGGTCGTCACTTTGCACCAATACGAATCGGCGTTCGTATCAGGGGACGGCGGCGTCTCTATCAAACACCGCAGAGGCGGTTCGCGACCCTCCCGTCTCAGGATTCTGCCGATGACGCAAACTCCGCGGCCCAGACGAGCCCTCGAGCACGAAGCACCTTTCGCCTGACGTAGAATCGAGTACAGAGCACATCCTCACTACAAACCTAACTGTACACTAAATACGCACTCATAAATGCATGCTTGAAAGTACGTACACCGACGCATACTTGGCCAGGTACACACTTGCAAATGCATGCTTGGAAAGTACACATTTACAAATGCATGCTTTTGGCATTGTCCAAGTTTGTTTGTTTTCTGAGTAGGTCGCCGACCACGTAGTTTCTTTTGGTCAGGAGCTCACTCAGACACTGAAGGCAGTTTTCACGCTGAGACAAATGTCACGTTCTTAGACTATCAGTGAACATCTGGGGTTCTCATCGTCGGGTCCTTGACATTTTTTTCAAGCGCTTAGCCGACCGAGACAGGCCACTCGTAAATTCGTCAAAAGAGTTGGGAGAAAACCCGCGTGATTGCAGAGTGGACCCGCGGGGCTGGCGCTCACTCTCTGCAACTCTCCGGCATGGACCCTCGGACCTTCACCATGCGTCCTGGACCCGTACAAGACCTTCGCGGAGCTGAGGGGGCCAAGATACCGTCTCAAGGGTGGCAAGTCTCCAAGAGGCCCAAGAAGATCATTCAAATCGAGGAATGTCCCGTCTCACTCAGCGGTCTCCCAGTGAGTGATTGCTAAAAAGATATTGCCCCTTAGTCATCCAAACCGTCCATTTTGATGTCAATATAGTACGGCACTTCCTGTCGGGTGGCAATATCTGGGTTCATTGATATTTTGTCACTCTGTGTTTAAAATGAGACTGGCTGGGAGCCTCAAAGTCTCTTGGAAAATAAGGTTACTCAACGCACACGTAAGTTTTCAGTGCGTAGGTTGGTACCCGTCCACTGCCCTTCCCGCCGCTTGCCCTTACAACGAGGCGGCGGCGCCAAGACGCCAGCCACTTGAGTGGGGCCATGGTTATTGTGCGTGGCGGACGGGTTCGGTCACAGTACTGGCGCAGTGCACAGTGGGCCAGACGACCGGCACAGGCGGCCAAAACTCTAGACGCGTTTTGGGCTTCAGTCGCTAAATGGAACTCGAACCGGACGTGTGACCCCATCAATGGATTGCTCTCCGAACGAGGAATCCATTGGTGGAGTCACACGCGCGGTTGGAGTCCTGTTTAGCGACTCTGGAGCTGAAAACGCGTCTAGAGTTTTGGCTGCCTCCACCGGTCTTCTGGCCCACTGTGCAGTGGAGCACTGGGTCAGCGTGGCGAGAAGGCTTAGAGAATCCTCGATCCGCGCCTGCGCCGTCACGTCCTGCAAATACTCTGGTGACGACGGAGGCTGTCTTCTTCGTTCGGCGTATTTGATAGTGTCGTCGCCGTCGTGCGTCTGCTGTGATGGTCGCCACTGATTAGACCGTATCGCCGCACTTCTGCAATAATTATTTCTTTTCCCCCAAATTTTCCATCGGTCAGTTTTTCTGCCTTCGCGCGTTCCAGCCCCGTGTCGTTAAAAATAAAACTGCCCCGTCATTTTGAAAACGATGAGGTCACAGATTCGCCGCCGTCGCACGCGCCTTGCCATTGTGATTCCGTGTTTAGAAGCAGGACGGCGGGGCCCCCCCGGCCGTGCGAGAGAGACGGCGCGACTGATAAGGGCCGCGCTGTGCATACGGTTATCTCAGCTCATTTCGGACGGCGGCCCATGCAAAGTGTCCTCAGTCATGGCTGAGCTGTAGTGGAAGGCGCCACACCGTCAGGACCAGGATCCAAGTGAGTGCACTGCGTCGCATCCACCGGCTGAGCCCAAGCGGCACCCTAGCCTACCACTGTGTCGCGTCTGTGACGGTCAAGGTCATGGATCTCCTCAGGGGAAAACGTCTTCGCGTCTTTAGTGGACAAGTTGGAATAGTATTACTGCCGCCATCTCCAGAGTCAAGCTGGTTCTGTACGTTCTGGCGTGATTTTAAAGAATGGGTTCATTGGGAAACCAATTCGATCTGAATTAATTCAAGGTCAATATATAGCATTTCTTTAACGAATAGTTTTGAGCATTACTGACTAAGAGTAGGATTCTTTGCTTACTTTCGTCTGCGACATTTTGTACGAGACCACATTTGCAATTGAAACAAATCCACAAGATGATGTGGAATTTTGCTTTGAGTTTTTACAGTAGATTTCCTTTACAATTTTTAAAAGACCGGCAAAATCGTCTAACTTGGGGGTGGTCATGGTTACACTGCTGGGTTTTGATCTTCAGGTTTAAAAACATTAAATAGCTAATTTCTTTTGTGGTTTTTACATTTAAAGTTACAACCAACCTGTCACACGTTTATTTTGACTTCATATAAGCCGTTTGACGCATTTCGTTTGACAGACCTGTCAATCGAAGAAACAAGACTGCTCCACCAAATTTGAGCGTTGTGCACTCTGAGAAATGATTTTCCGCAACTGACTTTTGCAGCTATCCCGCTGTGCGAACAAATTTAGATTAAAATTGAAATCAAAGTGCCAGGTCGCTCTTTCACACTCAAAGTCGGCTCTTATTGGCTTCCCGCTAAAAACACGAAAATTTATCGTTTCGGTAAACAAGAGACGGAGGAGAGAGAGCATTTCTAACAACCGAATGAACGAATACTACCAATACATAAATTGTCATTCCACAGTATTTTCCAATTGTTTCGTTTGCTACTTTGTTACTTCCGAAACATGGTTGCTACTCGCAGCTTACTCCCATTGGCGACCCAAAATACGATCGATGAACTGTCATGACTAGGTCATTTACGTGCCAGCCCCAATCTTTCATGGGCATCGGAACGGGGCGCGGGAAGCCTTGAGACAAAACCAATTCACTCTTATCAGCCCCGCGAGTAGAGTGAACAGTCGCCACTTCTTGGAATGCCTTTAAAATGTACCTGGCTGGTCATCTCCTGCGTCGGTTAAAAGATAATTAATCATCGAGTCATAGATTGCGGATTTGAATCTGTTCAGAAAAAAAATGGAGAGGCTGCTTATTCTAATTATCCTTAAAAGTATCGGCACGTTTCTCTAAGCAATCTCTGATCCTCAGGTGAGCTAAGATGGGGGACAACAACGAAAAGCCAATTATCTCGGTGCTTTCATCCAGCGCAGCCAACAATGACTTCGGTGGACCCAACACGTCCAACGGGTGAGTGACACTGGATCATTCGCGACGTCACTAAAATGACTTTGCGCGGGCAGGTGTCTCCGGGACGCCTCGCGGCGTCTCCCGGCGGGTCCGTGCTATCTCATCTCATGATCCAATCACTGGTATCAACCGATTGGTTTCTGACACAGCAAGTCTTTTGGCTGCTCACCATTTCGTCACCGCCACTCGAGACCGCGATAAAACGTGTCTGCCACATTCGTCCAGGGTCGTCCGGAGATGTCTCCGAAGCGCGCGCTATGCACACTCTAAATTGACTGAAATTACTTACAGAGAACTGATATTTGGACTCGTATTTGGACCATTATTCGTTGGCGCAACAATGATTGGTACTTTCCGTTCCAAAAACATTATTTTTCCTGAATAATTTTATGAAATAAATTCATCTTACCTAGAACCTAATTAAAGTTCTAGGTTGTATTTTTTGGTTAGTGAAAAGAAAGTCAGGGCTTCGCTAACAGTGAAAACGGGGAATGCGAGTAAACGAGGACTAAGCGTTTTGGTAAAATGGTCTAAATGTATTTGCAGCCACGCAGCGCCCCGGAAAAAGAAGTCAGGATGTGGAAAGTACGCCGACGCTCTCAAGGTCCTGCTGCCGTGCAGAGGGGCACCTCGGTAAGTTCAACGCACTTTCCCCATTTTGCTCAAGTCCACTGTTGAACTTTGTGAGTATAAGTCTTACAATAAACTGCATCCGTTGGAAGAGAATTTTGCATAAAAAGAAGTGCCCCGTGAAGCAAATAATTTTGAAGCAAAGAAACCATTCTACCCCCTTCCCCTCTTTGTCAATCGGTTTGAAAGTAGTGCAATTATTTTGCCGCGCTTTTCAGCAACAAGAAGAAAATGCCGGCGAACAAGGCAGGCCTCTTCTCCTTCATCACCATCAACTGGCTCTCCAGGATGATGTGGAAGGCCTTCACCACGGGACTCACACAAGAAGACTTCTTCGACCTTGATGTAATGTTTATGATTCATATTCTACCAACAGCACCTTCAGTGTCCGCACTAGCACTGATTCAACGAATGTGACGTCACATTCGTTAGAATGTGAATTTTGTCACGTTCGTTTGAATATGATGTCCGCGATGATGTCACATTCGTTTGAATGTTGGCCCATGCTTAAACGAATGTGACACCCGCATCAGATGGCTCCACGATGGCCGTGTCACGTTCAAACGAATGTGATATCACATTCAAACGAACGTGACAAAATTCACATTCTAACGAATGAGATGTCACATTCGTTGAATAACAGTGAGTTCACTGAGTGACTGACTGACGGCCCTCCATGTTCCAGGATGCCGACGACGCTGCGGAGAGCGCCCGCCGCCTGGAGAGCATCTGGGGCCGTCGCGTGGGCAAGCAAGGGGCTGCGACTTCCCTGGCCAAGGCAGTGTGGCGCTTCTGCAGGACCAGATCCCTCATCGCCATGGTCCTCATGGCCATCTCCATCGTGCTGCAGTTCACCGGACCGGTGAGGAATCAACGAATGTTGATGTATTTCCGCCATGAAAGCAAAAAAAAAAAAAATGCAAAATTCTTTCGGATTCTTTCGCGATTGTTTACAATCTTGTCTACAACGGCTGCGTCTCTCCGTTTCCAGGCGTTCCTGCAAAAGATGCTGCTCGCCTTCATCGAGGACCTCAACCAGCCCCTGTGGCAGGGCCTGCTCATCGTGCTCGGTCTCTTCCTCTCGCAGCTCCTCCGGAACTTGTTCTTCGGCATGGCCTACGTCATCAACATGCACACTGGTAATGGCACGCGATAATTTTTAATGCCCCTCACTGCTGAGATAAAACTCAGGTTTATCCTGGAGGTTAACCCTATCCCTCCTATCTAAATCTAAAGTTTTCTCTGTACGCTTCAAGGATGACATGGACCGCTTTTCTGGAAGCGTCGGGTTACGTCGTCTAATCTTGTCAGTGATATTTTACGGTGTGTGTTGCAGCAACGCGTTTGCAGGGTGGCCTGCAGCACCTGGTGTACAACAAGGTGCTGCGGCTGCGTGCCAGCGACGACAAGGCTCTGGGACAGGTGGTCACCTTCTGCTCGAGCGAGCAGGAACGTATGTTCGACGCCATCCACATGAGCAGCATCACCGTAGGTGAGTCTCCGCTTTTCACTCAAAAAAATATTGTTCGCTCCTGTTGTTCATGAGCAAAGTTCAATGTATTTGAAACCACAAACGTAATGTACAGTTTGACGTGGTTTTACGTAGTTAAATTTCACTCTTAAGTGTGTCTGAGTATGCCCAAAAGCGCACTCAAACTGAGTCCAAAATTGTGACAGTCTTCGCACGTTCATGAAAGTCGATCGTCAGAGACAAACTGTCGAAAATTGTCCAAGAGAACTCTCCGATTGATGAATGGCTTTGTCCCTCGCAGGTTCACCCGTCATGTTCGCGCTGGCCGTGGGCTACTCCGTGTGGCTCATGGGCGCATACGCCCTCATCGGTAACGCCATCATCCTCCTCTTCTACCCGATCATGGTGAGTCCCATCAACAGCCACGGACTGTTAAAATTAAATTGAAGAAAAAAGGCAAAGTCTAAAATGGAAAATGAAAATTCTAGGGTGTGGTGGCCGCTGTGACGAGCTACGTGCGTACGCGCACCGTTCAACTGACCGACAAGCGCATCAACATCATGAGCGAGATCCTCAACAACATCAAGCTCATCAAGATGTACGCGTGGGAGGAGAGCTTCGCCGACAACGTGAAAGGTAAGCCGCTGTGTTCGAAATCGTCACATCCACTGGTAGAACTCAAGCTTACTTTTACGCCTTTCTTCAAGCGTAGTAGAACTACGCTCGGCTTCGAGTGGCTCCGAGCGTAGTTCTCCATTTCGCCCCTCTCCCGCCTATCTAAATGCATGGGAGGATTTCTTCTCTACGCTTGACGTCAAGCGTTAAGTCTTCAATCGTAGTTGTATGCTTGAATGAAGCATACAACTACGCTCCAGTTTTACCAGTGTTCAGACCAACCTTGTTTGTTTGACTCATTTTATATTTTGGAACCGTTTGTCCGTAGGCGTTCGTGAAAAGGAGCGCGTGCAGCTGCAGCGGGCCGCCTTCTTGCAGTCCTTCAGCAGCACCATCTCGCCGTCTATCACCATCCTGGCCGCCGTCGCCACCTTCATCTGCTACTCGTGAGTCGAGATCCACTGTAAAAAATTCCGTACTTTTGTACGGAAATGGTACAGAAAAATATAGTACGGAGGTTCGGAGAAAAGTACGGAACGTTCCGTACTTGCTCCATATGAACCCATGTAAATGGGTACGGAAAAAAAAAGGACGGAACGTTCCGTAGTTGGCAAGTACGGACGTTCCGGGCAAATTATTGACCAGACATGTTCCGTACTTTTTCCGTACTTTTTTCTCACAGTGTCCACTACTCATACACAGTCGTACGACCTCTATTCCATGTCAACAGTTACCAGCTTTTATTTTTGTTTACTCACAGCCTTGCTGGTTACGAGCTGGAGTCCGGAACGGTGTTCACAGTCTACTCCGTGTTCAACGCTCTCCAGTTCACCGTGGCCACCCTCCCCTACGGCATCAAGTGCATCACCGAGGCCCGCGTTTCCTTCCAGAAGATGGAGGTGAGGACACTGCCAAGATTTGTGGCCCCTCGAGGACAAAATCGTAGAATAGGTGGCAAGTTAAACGCAAGGTGTATTGACATTCCTGTCAGAAAAACTACCGTTGAAATCGTCATGGTACTGCCGGATGCAACCAACATGTTTTTTGTTCACTCTACAAATCCAAAAGCGTACATTGTACGCTCTACCTGGAGCATGCCTGGAAGCAAGCTCTAGCTAGCGCGTGCCTGCCAAACATGCACTTGCTATAGTGCATACATGCCAGGTAGAGCGTACAATGTACGCTTTTGGATTTGTAGAGCAGTAATAACGACGCAGTAGACGCCGTTTGTGGTGAACCTTCCTACGGGTTTCGTTCCTCAGCAGACGAATTCACATTCCAGACGATGTTTATGTCGATTCTTCCTTGCAGAAATTCCTGATGAAGCCCGACATGGACACTCACTCCGGCCAACACGTCCCCAAGTACGACTCGGGCAACACGGCCATCCTCATGAACAGCGCCAACTTCGTTTGGGACGACCCGGCCGAGGGCATCGCCAACTCAGGTAGAGGAAAACGAACATGCGGGGAAGATTTCAAGAAAAATTATCCGTAAAAGGGTGCTGGCTGAAAAGAAAAATGTTCTCTTGATTGAACAGCCTTCGAGGACAACAACGTGAACGAGGACGCCGGCAGCGAGAGCCTGCGTAACATCAACCTGACGATTCAGAAGGGCAAACTCATCGGCGTCTGCGGCTCCGTCGGCTCCGGGAAGACGTCCCTGCTCTCCGCCATCACCGGAGACGTAAGTTCTGGGCTGTGTGTGTGTGTGTGTGTGTTGTTATCCTGTGTGTATTTTAGTATGTGTGTATGTTAGTATGTGTGTATGTTAGTATGTGTGTATGTTAGTATGTGTGTATGTTAGTATGTGTGTATGTTAGTATGTGTGTATGTTAGTATGTGTGTATGTTAGTATGTGTGTATGTTAGTAGTGTATTTTAGTATGTGTGTATGTTAGTATGTGTGTATGTTAGTATGTGTGTATGTTAGTATGTGTGTATGTTAGTATGTGTGTATGTTAGTATGTGTGTATGTTAGTATGTGTGTATGTTAGTATGTGTGTATGTTAGTATGTGTGTATGTTAGTATGTGTGTATGTTAGTATGTGTGTATGTTAGTATGTGTGTATGTTAGTATGTATGTATGTATGTATGTATGAGCAAAATATGAAACACAATTGCCTTATTGCGGGAATCTTACCTTTTTTTTTGCTAATTACTGTATGACAGAAAATAGAAATTTCGTGCCCTTTTCCCAAAAAAGCTACTATTGAGTGACTAATTGTGTGGCTCAGATGGTTTGCGTGCGCGGCGACATGGACGTGAACGGCAGCGTGGCCATCGTGACGCAGCAGGCCTGGATCTTCAACGAGACGCTCCGCGAGAACATCATCTTCGGCCTGCCCTTCGACGAGCGCCGCTACCGCGACACTGTGGAGGTGTGCTCGCTACAGCGCGATCTGGAGCTGCTGCCCATGGCCGACATGACCGAGATCGGCGAGCGCGGTTCCAACCTCAGGTACGCCAGCTTCATGTTTCTATAAACTAATAGAAGTGGTCATATCTCTTTGGGTGTGGACCGAGGGGGAAATCACTCGCGTAATAGTCGGGTCACCGATACCTAGTATTACACGTAGTAATAGCGTAATAGCCATTTTTTTTTTAAAATTTCCCTGTTTAGAGTCTGATTTTAGCCTAAATCTGGATATTTTCGAGCGTAATAAGCCTTCTGTAATAGCATAATAGAACGTAATAGGGAGTAGTCGGGTCACAGCTTTTAAGAGTGATTTCTCCCTCGGCGTGGACAAGGGGAAAAGACTAAAAAAATTGTATCCCAAAATTCACAAACAGTCTTGATTTTTTGTCAAATTTCTTTAAAGTTCATGAAATTGGGTCGTAAAGCTAAGCAATCCTCTCGAAACAAGTGAAGTTCATATCGAAATTCATAAGAATTTGGCTCCAATTCACTGAATTTGAGCCAAAATTAATGCGGAATTCAAAAATGAATACTCTGGCATTAAATTTTATTTCACCTTTCGGTGTGGACAATCTCTATGTAGTGTTATGGGAGAGACGTCTGAAGGCTGGGCCACTGCAGACTTACTTTATGAACTCCATAATCTATCCCAACTTTTATCCCATCCTTCTTCAGTGCTTTCCCAACCAGCCCAGCCCCCTGCCCTAACACGGGGTGCAAAGCGCCTGCTGAGCTCGGGTTAGGCTCGAAAGGCACGTCGCGCGGGCTTGCCTACCCTCTCTCTCGCTCGGGCAAAACAAAAAGTTACATAGTTCATAAGAATCGTGGTATGAGCACAATTCCGGGAAAACGAAAGCCTTTTAAAAATCGAAAACTCAACGCCCTCCCTTGCAGTGGTGGGCAGAAGCAGCGTGTCAACCTGGCCCGCTCCGTGTACGCCAACAAGGACATCTACCTGCTGGACGACCCGCTGAGCGCCGTGGACGCGCGCGTCGCCAAGCACATCTTCAACAAGTGCATCAAGGGCAAGCTGAGTGGCAAGACCGTCCTGCTAGTCACGCATGGTATTCAGGTGAGCAAGATAACACAACTTTGAGAATGTGCACTGTAACTCTAAAAGTGTGGACTGAGTATACACGTGGAGGACGAAAGTGTGCGCTGGGTGTCCTCATAGTTCGAACGTCAGCGTGTCTCTCTCGCCCACACCCAAAATAAAATAATTCCAGCCAAATTTTTACATTTAAATTCATCAAACATAGAAAATTTACTAAAGTTCTTTAAAATTCATCGAAATTTGACTGAAATTCATCGAAATTTGACTAAAATTCGTTGAAATTTGACTGAAATTCATTGATATCCGACTGAAATTCATTGAAATTTGACTGAAATTCATTGAAATCCGACTGAAATTCATTGAAATTTGACTAAAATTCATTGAAATTCGACTGAAATTCATTGGATTTGTACACCGAAATTCTCAGTGATTTCCCCTTGCCCACACCAGCCACCTTATCTCACCTATCTCTCCTTTCCTTCCGGTCCAGTTCCTGGAGGAGTGCGACGAGATCCTGTACATGAAGAACGGCGTCATCTCGGAGCGCGGCACGCACGCCGAGCTCAAGGCCCTGGAGGGCGACTACGCGCACATGCTGTCCTACGACCAGAACCGCGACAAGGAGAAGGACAAGAAGGACGAGGAGGTCAACGTGGCCGACCTGGACGAGGAGCCGCCCGTCGGTAAGACAGAGACAGACAACATGTTGAAGTTTGCCTACCTTTCAGGCGGCTATCTAAAGAGGCGCACAGGGGGCCAGAATACCGGCGGAGGCTTTCGAAATCCCAGACGCGTTTTGAGCTTCAGAGTCTCTAAACAGGGCTCGAATCGAACGTGTTGCCCCATCAATGGATTGCTCTCCGAACGAGGAATCCATTGGTGGGGTCGAATGCCCTTTAGTGACTCAGGAGCTCAAAACGCGTTTGGACGGCGTTTGGATTTTGCCGACGGCGCCGGTCTTCTGGTCAACTGTGGGGCGGTGGGGGCAGTTGTCCTTTTGCCCCTCTAGATCCCAGCTGGGTCGCAGCCCGAAATGTAACGACTGTTCTCCTTTGCAGACGTCGCCGGAGGCACCCTGACCGCGGCGGAGGCCCACAGGGCCATGGGTGCCAAGGCCTACATCGAGTACTTCCGGTTCTGCGGCGGCGTCTGCATCATGGCCATGCTCTTCATCCTCATCCTCGCCTTCGTCCTCTCGCAGCTCTTCGCCGGACTGTGGCTGCAGATCTGGCTCGACATGGGCGACGGCAACGGAGTGCGTTTGATTTCGCTGTCACTGATAAATTCCTTCAAAGAGCGTTCGAGCTAAGGAAACGGCGACTTCGCAGCCTATATGAAGACATTTGTTTGAAGAACAAACGATTTCCATAGCAGGCTGTGAAGGCACCGTTTCCTTTGCACTACATAGAACGTTTTTTTGTACAGAATTTTCAGTGTGCAAGTTATCTGTATTTATGCGTGTGAAGAGTCAACTAACTTGTTCTTTCTCCCGATTCCCCCAGGGCACGAGCGTTCTGAAGAACCCCAACCTCCAGCTGTACCAGATCATCTACGGCATCTCCTTCTTCCTCATGATGATCACCGGCAGCATCAAGGGCTTCGGCTTCGCGCGGCAGCTGGTGCTGGCCTCGTCCAGGATGCACGACACCATGTTCAGGAAGGTGATGCGCTGCCCCGTGGCCTTCTTCGACGTGACCCCCGTCGGCCGCATCCTGCAGCGCTTCTCCAAGGACATGGACGAGCTGGACGTGAGGATCCCCTACTACCTGGAGTACGTCGCGCAGGGCATGCTCACCTGCGTCGGCCAGATGCTCATGGTGTGCGTCATGTACCCCGTCTTCTCCGCCGTGCTGGCCGTCGCCGTCGTCATCTTCGGCTTCCTCGAGGTACGCCCACTCGCTCGATGGCCCCTATTGAAAGAAGCCTATCTGAGTGTTTCCGGGAGAAGAAGTCTATCTTCCCGTTACCGCACTACAAAATCCACTGTGTCCTTAGTATACATCTATAGGAGTGTACTTGGTAAGTACACATCTATAGGAGTATACTTACCAAGTACACATCTATAAGAGTATACTTAGGCAAGTATCGATAAGAGTATACTTAGGCAAGTATCGATAAGAGTATACTTAGGCAAGTATCGATAAGAGTATACTTAGGCTAGTATCGATAAGAGTATACTTAGGCTACTATCGATAAGAGTATACTTAGGCAAGTATCGATAAGAGTATACTTAGGCTAGTATCGATAAGAGTATACTTAGGCTAGTATCGATAAGAGTATACTTAGACAAGTATACTCCTATGGATGCGTGCTTGGCAAGTACACTCCTATAGATGTATACTAAGTACACAGTGGATTTTGTAGTGCGTGTACAAAAGCAGATTGGTTTCGGGAGGCCTCAGAAATCGTCATATTTAAATGTCGGATGATTTGACCTTCAAATATGACGATTTCTGAGACATAATTGAGGCATAATAGGGTACTTTCGTAGATCCCTGAGCCGGAAGCACACAGACGCCATGTTGACGGAAGTAGATCCAAACTTGACATGGGAAAGAGACGTTCGTCAAAGGTATCGGCCACACTTGAACAGAAACAGTCGTTTGATACTTGTTTGCAGTGCATATGTGTTTCGCGAGCAATATTTGTACAGCTCGGCTATAGTTTTGGATCCGAAGAGAGGTTAGTTTCCGGCCAATTTGGCGTCTGCTGGTCTGCTTGCTTCCGGTTCAGGATTCAACGAAAGTACCCTATTTTAATGCATTTTTTTCACCAGTGGCCTCAAAAGTCTGAGCTCTGTTTTCAAGGTTAAGAGAGTGGCCTTTCATTTTCCCGCGACTGTCCACTGACGCCGTCCGTGCCTTTGCAGGTGTGGCTGAACCGCGGCCTGCAGCAGAACAAGAGTCTGGACAGCATCCGCAAGGCGCCCGTGCTGACGCACCTGTCCTCCACCATGTCGGGCCTGAGCGTGATCCGCACGTACGGGCGGCAGGACGTGCAGCTGCAGCGCTTCCGCCGGCGCCTCAACCACTCGCTGGCGTCCGACCTCATCTACCGGTCCTCCGTGCGCTGGTTCACGTTCCGCATGGACATGATCTGCGTGACGCTCGTGGTGCTCACGGCGCTCGTGTGCGTGCTGCTCAAGGGCGACGCGTCCTCGGCCAAGAGCGGCCTGGCGCTCAGCAGCGTGTTCGCCGTGTGCAACGTGATCCCCTTCGTGATGCAGATGGCCTCCGAGCTGCAGGCCCGCTTCACCTCCGTGGAGCGCGTGCTCGAGTACACGTCCGGGCTGACGGAGGAGGCGCCCCGGCGCATCGCCAAGAGCCCCAAGCCCGACAAGTGGCCCGTCAAGGGCGACGTGCTCATGGAGGAGGTGGAGCTGCGGTACCGCGAGGGGCTGCCCCTCGTGCTGCAGAAGGTCAACGCCAACATCATCGGCGGGGAGAAGGTGCGCACCGCGGCACAGTGGGCCAGAAGACCGGTGGAGGCGGCCGAAATTCTAGACGCGTTTTGAGTTGCAGAGTCGGGAAACGGGTCTCGAACCGAACGTGTGACCCCACCAATGGATTCCTCGTTCGGAGAGCAATCCATTGGTGGGGTCACACGTTCGATTCGAGTCCCATTTAGCGAGTCAGGAGCTCAAAACGCGTCCATCGGTCTTCTACACTGTAAGAAAATACCACAACAAAAGTACACACTGGCAAATTTTTTTATCAGGAATTTATTGTACTTTCAAAGTACAACAATTGTTGTACAAAGTACAATGGAACCGGGCTGACGAGTGCTGGTCTCCCTGTGGTTTGTACAATTTTCGTTGTACTTTATAAAATCCCTGTTGTACTCTAATTGTACAATTTTCGATGTACTTTTGTTGTACTATTCACACTTTTTCTTGCAGTGTAGCCCACTGAGCGCGGGAAAACCATCGATAAAATTCTGTAATTTTCGAGTGAAGCCGAACAGGACCGAGACTGTCATGCCTTTCCTTCTCCTTCCCGCAGATCGGCGTGGTGGGTCGCACTGGCGCCGGCAAGTCTTCGCTCATCAACACGCTGCTGCGCTTCCAAGAGCTGGCGGGCGGCCGCATCCTCATCGACGACGTGGACATCGCCAAGATCGGCCTGCACGACCTGCGCTCCTCCATCGCCATCATCCCGCAGGACCCCGTGCTGTTCGAGGGCACCATGAGGTTAGCAAGGCCGCTTGAAAAATAAATGTATCTGACAATGAAAAAAAAAGGCCGATATTATAACGCTGGAAAAGCTTTCCCGGCGTGTATATAATGAAAATCTCGTTATTTGCACGCTGCGTGTATGTTAGTGGCTTTTCACTTTATAAACGCTGCGTGTCAATAATCACTTCGAAAAAAAAATTTCTATGAAGAATTTTTGCGTTGAAATCGCGCCGTAATCACTGAAGCATGGCTTAAATTTAATTGAGAAACATTAATGGTATAATGATCTGTTATGGAACAAGTTTGCTATTGCAGAGTCTCTTCCCTTGACTCAGTGCTTTTTTTTCGGATTATTTGCAATTGTTGCTCCTTTTTCACAGCTAACATTCACCTGACCCTCGTTCCAGGTTCAACCTCGACCCCTTCGAGGACTTCTCCGACGAGCGCATCTGGGAGGCCCTGGAGAAGTCGCACATCAAGGACAAGGTGTCCCGAGAGGAGAAGCAGCTGCTGACCCCCATCACTGGGGGCGGCCAGAACCTGTCCGTCGGCGAGAAGCAGCTCATCTGCCTCGCCAGGGCTGTCCTCAGGAGAAATAAGGTACACTGTGAGAAAAAAGTACGGAACATGTCTGGTCAATAATTTGCCTGGACCGTCCGTACTTGCCAACTACGGAACGTTCCGTACTTTTTTCCGTGCCCATTTACATGGGTTCATACGGAGCAAGTACGGAACGTTCCGTACTTTTCTCCGTACCTGCGTACTATATTTTTCTGTACAATTTCCGTACAAAAGTACGGAGTTTTTTACAGTGTAAGGTCACTGCACACGACAGTTGTCAACTTGCAAAGTGCACGAGTACATGTAGACAGTATTAAATTTGTAGTGGTGGCGTCGTAGCGTTGCTGGGAGCGTCCAAGGAGTCGGCAAAGCCGACGGACACTCTCTGGCGAGCGCGTAGTGAGCCAGAAGACCGGCGCGGCGCAGGCAGCCAGAACTCTAGACGCGTTTTCAGCTCCAGAGTCGCCAAACAGGACTCCAACCTAACATGTGACCCCACCAATGGATTCCTCTTCCAGAGAGCAATCCATTGGTGGGGTCAAACGTTCGGTTTTCGAGTCTCATGTGGCTACTCTTGAGCTCAAAATCCGTCCGGGATTTTTACCGCCTCCACCGGTCGTTTGGCCCACCACTGTGGAGCGTTAGAGCGTGGCAGTGACTGTCCCCTCGTTGCAGATCCTCCTCCTGGACGAGGCCACGGCCTCCGTGGACGTGGAGACGGACTTCCTGATCCAGCGCACCATCCGCGAGGCCTTCCACGACTGCACCGTGCTCACCATCGCCCACCGCCTGCACACCGTCGCCACCTACGACCGCGTCATGGTCATGGACGCCGGCAAGGTACACTATCATAATTTGCAACCACTCCTTGACGAAATAGCTCGGGTGAAACTAAGGCGTAACCTTGCACCTTTCTCGAAGCGGAAAAGAGCTCACTCATTAAGTGACTTCGTAGTGTTTTTGTGCATACCGTTTTCACAAAATTGAAATTGAAAATGCGTGAAACGCACGACTTCATGAGCAACAACGCACTTTTTCGTGCTTGTTGCTCACAAAATCGTGCATTTTAAAACGCACGCAAAATTTTGTGCAATACTTATGCACAAAATAAACTTATATCCTAATTTGGTGTGCACGCGCTCCTTTCTTCATCTCAATGCCTCAGGGTGCCTTGAAGAAGCTTAGTCGTACGTTTCAAAAAGGGCGCAAGGTCTTCAAGCGTATTAGTTCTATGCTTGAATGAAGCGTAGAACTACGCTTTAGTTTTACCGGTATTTAAAACGATTATTAAAAGAAAGTGACGCAGCAGTTGTACAGCGCCAAAATTAAAGTAACATTAACTCTTTTCCCGTTCTTATCACAACCGATGGGTCTGTTTAATCCAGGTGATCGAGTTCGACACTCCAACAAATCTGCTCAACGATACCAACTCCGTCTTCAGACAAATGTCGGACGCCGCCGGCGGAGTCAGTGTGGAAAATTCGTCATGAAGGGACTGTCCTCCTTAGATTAATGTATTAATTTATTTGTGTGAAGTACAAAGTAGCTCGGTCATCTCCGCTCGTGTTAAACGTATCACTAAGTCCGTCATCCAGCGAGCTTGATTCTGTTTGACGTGTCAGGGACTTTTCAACAGATACCCTTGACTAACGCTAAAAATATAATGAGATCGTCATGACGACGGTTTTGAAGGTCCTGTCGCCTTCACCAGAGTTTGTCTCCTTTTTGGGAAGTCAAGTGATACGGTATTTGATGTTATCGTCAGTTCCTAACAAACACAGGTCACAAATGTATGATTTTGAAATTTTAAACTAAAGAAGGCATCGAATTAAACTGTCGGTAGCTCAAGATTTAAGCAAGCGGCCGAGTAGTATTGTTTCTAGCCTATTTCGAAACGAGTCTAAGTGCAGTGAAGCAACTAACATTGTCCACAACAGCATTGTCAGATCTCATTCATTCAGCGAACCTGTGATAAGTTTGTGTTTGAAAGGTCCGTATTGGGGATGCCACTAAGTATTGCATCCCATGGAATGTAATGTATAGTGATAAATAAAGCTATAACCACTCACGAATGAGCGGTGCTTCTTTCCTTGAACCGCTCCACTTATGACAGAGGTGCGAACCGAGCCCTGCAGCCTCGACGCCTTGAGCAAGGTCTCTGTCACACAGCAATGGGCGCTGCCAACCTGACGAGAAAGAAACTGCCCGGCTTGTCGGCAGACAACACAACAACACCACGGTCCCAACTCGGAGTATTTTCGATAAAACCTTTTCGCTCCGTCAATAACGTGTTGCGTCAAACTAAATATTGATGGGCGTCCACTGTCCGTGCCATATTTGTGCATGTAATCCATACACTATGAAATAACAAATAAAAAGGTCTCGCTTTGTCGTTGCAGCGACGTTGGCAACGCGTTCGGCAACGTAGCGCGGCAGTCACTCCGCCGCTTCGAGGCGGGGCAGTCCGTTTGACGCAATGAGCGAGGCACGCGGCAAGCCCGGCCTGTTCCGGCGACTCAGCTTTCGACGCAGGTAAACGATACCTACTAGTAAAGAAAGACTCAATTGTGGCGAGGCGCTGAGAAAATACTCAGTTGTGGCGGCCCATTCGAGAAAGACTCAGTTGCTGCTGGATTCCTATCTAACTGAGAAAACTCGTCCAAAGCAAACCCTAAATGCTCGTGGACGCTTCGTACATATCACGGTTCATTCATCTCCTGTGGGGAATCCCAGGGGAAATCACCTGAGATTATCAGGAATATCGGTAAAGTGAGCCATAACATATATAACCAATGGTGCCCGAAAAAGTGTCAGAAGTCAATAGGGAGTGCTCCAGTACAACATACTCCAATTTGCGTCATTTTATGCTGGAAAACCATGATAAGCCATAGCGATTTTTTAACAAAAATGGTCGACTACCTCCGACTTGTCTGGAATTCATATGGAACGTTTCTATAGGTCATAGAAAGAGATGCCTGGTGCCCAATGGCCTTTCACACATTTTATTTGGTGTGAAAATAGCTTTTCCGAGGCGCCAGTTGAGCTCCGGTGCGGTGAAGAGATGATGGGTGGCCTAACTCACCGGCGCAATGCTCAAATAGTTTCAGTTTTTCTGTCGAAAAAATGTTAAGGGACGAAATGGTCGCCGAAAGAGAGTCAGGAGTCTTGAGGGAATGCTCCAGCACAACATACTCGAATTTGGGCCATTTTGAATTTCTTGGCCAAAACGTCAAAAATGGTCGACCATTGTCTGAAATGCATATGGAACGTTGCTATGGATCTAAGAAACAGAAGACCGGCGCCCAATAGTCTTTGACGCATTCTATTTGGCGTGAAAATGACTTTTTCAGTGAAGCTAGTTGTGGTAGAGAAGCTGTGGACGGTGGGTTGCATACCCACGCGGCGCAGGCCCTAAGCAGTCCAGTTTTACGCCAGAAAAAGACCGTTTATGGCCAAAATGGGTCTCGAAATAGTGTCAGGAGTCTTGAGGGAGTGCTCCAGCACAACATACTCCGATTCGAGCCATTTCATTTTTTGCCAAAGACGTTTAGAAACCATGATTGTATCCTTAGCATTTTTTGGCGGAAATGGTCGACCACCTCCGATCTGTCTGAAATTCACTGGGAAATTTGCTTCAAGGCTAGGAAACAGATGCCCAGTGCCCAATGTTCCTTGACACATTTTACTTGGTGTGAAAATGGCTAATTTTGTGACGACAGTTGGCAAATAGGGTGTGCACGATGGGTTGCCTACCTCCCGGCGCAATGCTCCAATAGTCTTAGCATCGCTAGAAAAAGACTGTTAAAAGACTGTTTAGGGCCAAAATGGTTCTTGAAGTAATTCGAGGAGTCTGGAAAGAGAGCGCTAGCACATCGTTCTCAAATACGGGCAATTTTTCGAAGTCTTTTGAAATCGTATGAAATGTTGTGAGGTGGGCACAGTGGAATCCAGTGCTCTCCAACATGGGTGGTTGCCGCTTTACAGAACTTACCTCATCATTAAAGAAATGGAGTCCCTTTTTTCTCTAGGCATTTTGAGTGCTGTATTTGTGCAGTTTCGTTCGCTTCTTGTAAGCCCTCGTCTGAATTTTCAGGCACATACTAAATTACTACGTAGTTACTTTGTGTATAGTTTTTGCACAAAATTGATCATGCGAGTGAATCGTACGAATTCATCCGCAACAACGAACACTTTTATGCTTAGTCACGCACAAACTCGTGCATTTTAAAAGGCATGCACAATTTTGTGCAAGGCTCACGCAATTACAAAGTATTTCAAAGAGGAACAATTTTCCGCTTTTCCATCTCGGCACGTCGTGTTGTTTGTCTGAAGGAGGCCGCGGTCGCCTCCAGTGCCTGACGACGCCCGCGCCGCCGCGGCCCAGGGAGGACCTGCCGCCGACTTGCCACTCACCTCGGTGACGCCGCCCCCTCGGCCGCCCCCCACACCCACGCCCACCTTGACGTCCAGGAGCACGTCCATGTCCACGCTGGACGTCGCCCTGGCCGGCCGTCCCGGCGACCTCAACGCCGGTGTCCTGCAGGACTCCACGACGACGCTGGGAGCCAAGTGCTGTCGGGAGCACGAGGACGCGGCCTCGGACAGGGGCCTGGATAGCAGAGCCTCCGACAGGGCCCTGGATAGCAGAGCCTCGGACAGGGGCGTGGAGAGCACGACCTCCGACAGGGGCCTGGAGAGCAGAGCCTCCGACAGAGGCTTGGAGAGCACGGCCTCGGTTTCCGTATCAGAGGAGTCTCAGGAGCACGAAGGGTCAGGTGAGTGGATGGAAAATGGAAGCATTCAAGCGAGGGGGCAACCACTCGCTAAATCCGGTGTACACTTGCTTGGACGAAATCTTACGCGAAATCCGTAGAAATCTCGTGAAATCCCTCCGAAATCTGCTCTACAAATCGAAGAGCGTAATTTTTTGTGCTCTAACTGGAGCATGCCTGCAAGCACGCTCTAGCTAGCGCATGCCTGCCAAGCATGCACTCACTAGTGCATACATGCCATGTACACGCTTCCCGATGCAGGCAACTCCCTATCCCTTATGCACTAGACGCATGCCTCAGCGTGTACATGGCACGTATGCACTAGTAAGTGCATGCTTGGCAGAATGCGCTAGCTACAGCGTGCTTGCAGGCATGCTTCAGCTACAGCATACAATGTACGCTCTTCGATGTGTAAAGTGGGAAAGTCTCGCGAAATTCCATCAAAGTCTGGTGAAATCTCGCGAAATCTCATCAAAATCCCATAAAAGTCCCGCACAGTCTGGCATCATTTTGGCGCGAAATCCCTACCTTTGAAGAATCCTGTGAACGAAAAAATTTCAAGTGGTTACCCGCTAACATTCAAGCGCAGACCCGAGGGGGTATGCGCTCTCTGAACCTGTGTACCGACTATTACGCTATTACGCTCTATTACGCCACAAATTAATCGGAATTTAGCTAAAAACGGCCTAAAACACACCAAAATTGATAAAATTTTGACAATTTCGGCTATTACGCGACTATTACGCGTATTATTACGCGTGCTATTACAGATAGAGTGAACCGACTATTACGCGAGTGCATACCCCCTCGCGCAGACCGCAGAATGCACGCTGGACTGCACGCTGCCGTGAACTTACTTTTCTCAGCCTCGAGGCGCCGGTCGTCCGCGGCCGCCCTGGCCGAGCTGAACCGCGTGCTGCTGTCGGGACTGGAGTGCCCGGTGTGCTACACGGCCATGGCGCCGCCCATTCGGCAGTGCCTGTTCGGGCACTCGGTGTGCGCGCGCTGCGAGGCGCGGCTCGCGCGCTGTCCGACGTGCCGCGCCGCCTTCCTGGCCGCGCCCAACGCCACCCTCAACGCCATCGCCGTGGCGGTGCGCCTGCCCTGCCGCCACCGTGGCTGCCGCCAGCACCTGGCGCTGGCCGACAAGGCCCGTCACGAGGACCACTGCCCGCACCGGGAGTTCGCCTGCCCGGACGCGCCGCCGCACTTGCGCCTGGAGGGTGAGTGGGTGGCACGCTTCAGATTTCCTTTTCTGGAAAAGTTGGGATCTAATGTGATGACTAACGTTTCAGGCATCCTGAAAGGTGAACACAACAACGGTTAGAGACAATAATCATCAAGCGAGGGATTTGATCATTGGCTGAGCGATAGCGAAGCCCTTGCCGTGTTTGGGCGCGCTGAAAAGTGACTGGTCGTGAGTCTGTCTGTGACTTTGTACTCACCAACGATTCTCAGCAACTACAGTAGCTATAGTTTCAAGATTTCGTATTTAACGTCACCTTAGTACCCCCCAACACGAGTTTGTTTCAAATCGTTGTTTAGTATCGTTTGAAATATTCAAAACATACTTTTGAATCAGGTTATTAGCATGGTTAGGTTGGCAGCACTCAGCACTCACGAATTTCTCATACCTGCGGCCGCGGCTCTCAAATACGGGACAGAAGCAAATAAGCAAATAAAACAAAATAACGAGCAGAAGGGTTTGGAAATGAGATCGGCCATAGTTTTTCCACATTCTAGAATGATTAAAACCCTTTTAGGGTATCAACACAGCGAAATATGGAGAATGGCCGTGAAAATGATTTACGTGTTTCGTTCCCCTCTCCCCCCTTCCCCTTTCGAGGGGAATCTTCTTCAGGTCAGTGCACTTTGACAGAGCAGTGTAAAAAGAATGTTTTTATTTTGACCTTTTGTATTGTGGGCATCTACTTGTTTCATTTTCTATAGTGTCATCCTCTTTTTTTTTAAATTCTCATAGTAGAGGAAATCAGGGAAATGCAAATAACTTGTGTTGAAATTAGCAGGCATACTTAGTTTGGACTCGAGAAATACATTCTATTGCAATGCTGCAAGCTGACAAGAGTGCAAAAGTACTAACATGTGTTTATTAATAGAATCAATGTATGGTTGTGTATATTTAATCCTAATAGAGTTTGAATTGATATTGGGTTCAAAGAGACGACTCAGGTTTTGAGCGGTGAGTGAATTAGTGAATGGATTTAATGAGACGATTCCTTTCACTTCACTGAAGTTAATATAACTGGTACTACTCAGTATTGCATACCTGAGTAAGATAAATTGTGTCGGTTCATTAAGCCTTGGGTAGCCTTGGCATTGGACTCTATATGACGAATCACTGGATTTGACAATAATTGGTCCCCGTTAACTGGTTCAGATCAGCCTACCCTAAACTGACTCTCTTAATATTAACTGTGATAACGTATGCCAATCAATATTGTTTTATTCACTGGTTCACAATGAAAGAATGAAAAAATGTTTCATAGATATTACTTAAAAAATTGAGAATTCATTAGTTAAAAAAAAAGAGATATCGAATAGTGACCCAATCATACGAGTAATCAATTAAGCGATTCAATGCTGGCAATTGAATTTTACTCGACTGAGGGATTCACATTGGTGTGGCATCAGGGAATTGGTGATGACAGGGGTGCTTCATGAAGACAGTGTAGGAATGTACAGAAATTGAGTCTAGATAGTTGTTTGTAGATTTCAGTGTACTAGTCACAAAAGCTACATTTATTTCAATGCCAAACCTACACTTTCACCTAGAGCTACGCAATTTGGGGCAAAACTTTCTAATTTGAGAGTCATGCGTTTCCCTGCAGTTTTCAGTGCGCTGACTTCAATATTGACTTCTAAATTTTCCCCAGACCCAAAATTTTAACCCATTTTGGGTCAAAATTTTTTTAAAATTTAATTGCACATTGATTCTTGCAGTTTTTTGAGTGCTGATAGCAAAAATCACTTCCATTTAGACATCAGACTTATATTTTCATCCGAAACGAGGTCATTTTGGACCAAAATTTTCAAGTCGAGTCTTATATTATTTCCTGCAGTTTTTGGTGTGCTGAACTCAAAAATGACTTCCAAAATTTTCCCAGACTCACACTTACCCGAAATTTTTACCAATTTTGGACCCAAAATTTTTTAAAACGAGTTTGACATTGATCCCAGCAGTTTTTGGTGTGCTGATAACGAAAATCACTCTCATTTCGACTCCAGACTTATATTTTCATCCCAAATTAGGTCATTTTTGGGCCAAAATTTCAAGTCGAGTTATATTGTTTCCTGCAGTTTTTGATGTGCTGAACTCAAAAATGACCTTCAAACTTTTCCCAGACTCACATTTAACCGAATTTTAACCCATTTTGGACCAAAATTTTTAAATCGAGTTTGGCATTGATCCCAGCAGTTTTTGGTGTTCTGATAACGAAAATCACTTCCATTTGTACCCCTGGTCTAAAGTTCACTCAATATGAGTCCTTAAGATGCACATTTCGTCTTCTCAAGCAAAGTCCAAAGTGCACAAACCATGTCAATTCGCATCGCTCAGCCACACTACGCGCCCAGACTAAACGGCGCGTACCCCTAGTTTTAATTTATTCATATTCAAGGCAAATGCGGCAGTCATGAACTTAACACATAAAGGAGTAAGATCATTCCGAATGGCCTTCAACATGGACCAACTCATACATTATATCCCCTGTTTCAAACAGTGCGGTAGAAAGACCCATCTGAAAGTGTTCGAAGATGTACTGCACAGTAAATTGAAATGGCAGAATCTGTAGTGGTCTTAGAGCCTTAAATCGCAGAAACCGACAGGTAAATAGATCCGGGGCGGTTTTGCATCAAAACCGCCCACGGCAAACCCATTCTGCACACAGGCGACGGAATCCGTGCACTCGCCACGGAATCCGGACAACACTGCACCATAATCGTCAATTGCGATTCGCTCCACCTCGCGACTCCGAGACTTGTCAATGCAAGAAAAAGTATGCACACTCATCAAAATATGTAAATAATGTCCAAAACAACAAAACCGTCTAGAGACACAGTGAGGTTTGGTTGGCCAGCGAGACCGTAACCCCGTAGCAGTTTCTGTGAGTCCATTCCAGTTTCTGTGACTACCAAATTCAGAATCATTTACTGACAGTTTCTGTGCCGAACCGTAACGGATTTTGCCATTTCAATTCACTGTGCATGCCCAGTGGCTGCAGACTCCTTCACGATTTTCGCAAAAACAGGAGGCTACCTGTTATGGGTTCGGATGTGATAGTCCGTTTGCCGAACCTTTAACAATGCAAACTGAGCACTCGAAAGGCTTGTCACCAGTTTGGGTTCGAAGGTGCGTCCGAAGGTCACCTGAGGTAGTGAGCATTTTCTTGCAAACTGAGCAGCACTGCGGCAATATGGGTTAAAAGGTGCAACCGAAGGCCACCTGAAGTATAAACATTCTTTTACAAAGTGAGCCCTCGAAAGGCCTCTTACCCGAGGGGTTACCCACTCGGTACTTGGGCGTACACACGATTCCGGATTCCCGCGATTCCTGAACCAATCTTGCATAAAAGGAGAGGTTTTTGAAGATTTTTCTTACCTTCTGAGTGTTCTTACCTTCTGATTCTATTACATATCCCTCTCCATTGAAATTTTTAAGATTTTCGATAAAATTTTGAGCAAATTACGAACGATTCCTGGACTGAGTGTACACACGATTCCCGGAGTGGGTAACCCCTCGCTCTTACCAGTGAGTGTTCGGATATGTACCCCGAGATCACCTGCTTGAGAGCACCTCTTATTGCACACAGTGCACTAAAATGTTTATTCCTGTAAATAAGTATAAAGATGTGCCATCAGAGAATTCCGCTGACTGAACGATTTACCGCACTCTGTGCACCTGAAAGGCTTTTCCACGGTATGACTTCGGCCATGGATTTTTAAAAGATGTACATGTGTGAACTTCTTATTGCAAACTACACACTCGTAAGGCTTCTCATCAGAATAGGTTCGAAGATGTGTCTTGAGATGAGCAGCTTGGCGAAAAGTCTTCTTGCAAATCGAACATTCAAAAGGCTTCTCACCAGTATGGATTCGAAGATGCGTCTTGAGATGACCAGCTAGGCGAAACGTCTTGTTGCAAATTGTGCATTCAAAAGACTTCTCACCAGTATGGATTCGAAGATGCGTCTTGAGATGAGCAATTTGGCGAAAAGTCTTGTTGCAAATCGAGCATTCAAAAGGCTTCTCACCAGTATGACTTCGTCGATGCACCTCGAGAGTACAAGAGTGGCTAAACGTCTTCTTACAAATTGAGCATTTAAAAGGCTTCTCACCAGTATGGGTTCGAAGATGCGTCCTGAGAGTACTTGAGATGCCAAACGTCTTGTTGCAAATCGAGCATCCAAAAGGCTTCTCACCGGTATGACTTCGTCGATGCACCTCGAGAGTACAAGAGTGGCTAAACGTCTTCTTACAAATTGAGCATTTAAAAGGCTTCTCACCAGTATGGGTTCGAAGATGTGTTTTGAGCTCAGAAGTTCTGCCAAACATTTTGTTGCAAATCGAGCATTCAAAAGGCTTCTCACCAGTATGGCTTCGAAGATGTTCCTTGAGATAACCAGCTTGGCAAAACGTCTTGTTGCAAATTGTGCATTCAAAAGACTTGTCACCAGCATGGATTCGAAGATGTGTTTTGAGGTCAGAAGTTCTGCCAAACATTTTGTTGCAAATCAAACATTCAAAAGGCTTCTCAGCAGTATGGGTTTGAAGATGCGTCTTGAGAGTACTTGAGTGGCCAAACCTCTTGTTGCAAATTTTGCATTCAAAAGGCTTCTCACCGGTATGACTTCGTCGATGGACCTCGAGAGTACAAGAGTGGCTAAACGTCTTCTTACAAATTGAGCATTTAAAAGGCTTCTCACCAGTATGGGTTCGAAGATGTGTTTTGAGATGAGCAGCTTGGCGAAAAGTCTTGTTGCAAATCGAGCATTCAAAAGGCTTCTCACCAGTGTGGGTTTGAAGATGCCTCGTGAGAGTTCTTGAGTGGCCAAACGTCTTGTTGCAAATTGTGCATTCAAAAGACTTCTCACCAGTATGGATTCGAAGATGCGTCTTGAGAGAAGAAGCTTGGCGAAAAGTCTTGTTGCAAATCGAGCATTCAAAAGGCTTCTCACCAGTGTGGGTTCGGAGATGCCTCTTGAGAGTACTTGAGTGGCCAAACGTCTTGTTGCAAATCGAGCATTCAAAAGGCTTCTCACCAGTGTGGGTTCGAAGATGCCTCTTGAGAGTACTTAAGTGGCCAAACGTCTTGTTGCAAATCGAGCATTCAAAAGGCTTCTCACCAGTGTGGGTTCGAAGATGCCTCTTGAGAGTACTTGAGTGGCCAAACGTCTTGTTGCAAATTGTGCATTCAAAAGACTTCTCACCAGTATGGATTCGAAGATGTGTTTTGAGGTCAGAAGTTCTGCCAAACATTTTGTTGCAAATCGAGCATTCAAAAGGCTTCTCACCAGTATGGGTTTGAAGATGCGTCCTGAGAGTACTTGAGTTGCCAAACGTCTTGTTGCAAATTGTGCATTCAAAAGACTTCTCGCCAGTATGGATCAGAAGATGTGTCTTAAGACTGGCTTTACAAATTGCTTTTTTGGAAATAGTACACGCAGAACGCTTCTGCTCCGAATGGTATCGAAGATGGCGTCTTAGATGTCTTTTTTCATTGAATGTCATACCACACACTTTGCATTCGAGAGGATCCTTGATCTGATACTCAACTTCTTGAACATTTCCTCGGACATCGACGAGTCCATCACTCGAAGCCATTATTGAAAAACCTAAAGAAAACGTTTTTTTAAATGCAAAGTTGAAAGGACAATACTTGTGCATTAACATAGTGCATACCTTGTGTGTTGTGGCGGTGTCGTTACTTGTCGCAAAGGAAAGGAGGCCGACTCGGGCCGACTACTTGCCCAAAATTGACGCGCCGTATCCAGTGATCTGTAATAAGGATGAGGTGAATTAGTCACGCAATCACAAACGTCAAAGCAGAAGGCGCTAGCAGGGCCATCTTTAAGAACTGGCGGTAGTGTGAAAGTTTTTATTTTGAAACTTTGCTGTGCCAAAACGAAAAGTCTAACGGCTTTGGAACCGACTTCAGACTTGCTACGTAAAGATCCTAAAAAGATTATGTAAGGTAAAGAGTTAAACCTTAGTTTGGTCAAAAATGTGAAGTATCTGAACTCTGAATGAAGCTTTGCTATGCGTGTAAACGAAAAGAAATAAAACCTCGTCGTCAACGCCATTCGTATAAGAACGCACTATTTTGGTCATGGCGCGCCCATACAGGACTTCTATTCGCCATAGGTTGACGCCAGAAAGTCCCAAACCCTCAACACAGCCCGGCCCATCGTCGGTTCAGAGGACGTTTTTGAAATATTCTTGGATTCAAGCTAAAATAACTTACGCTCGGTTTTCATAGACCCCTTCCCCCCGAAAAATGTTGACGAATTAAATTTCTCTCATAGTGTCCTGCTTAGGTGCGCTTCACTGATTTGGTTTGTTCCACTAAATAATTCGTAAATTACAAAGTATTTGCTAATGCGTGCTAAAAATCGAGCTCAAAATACTTTGAGACTATAACATTGTGACAGTTTTTTTTTTGTTACGCCTAAAGTTTTTAAGGTTTTCCAGAGTGCAAGTCCAACCATGTCAGACCACAGTCAATATCGATATTGTATCTGGTTGACAGGGGCCGCTCAGCGCCCTGCTGGAGCACACGCTGTCGGAGCACGCCGGCAGCTCGTCGCTCATCACGCTCAACCAGTACGCGGGCATCAGCTACACCTACAGCCGGGGAAGGCCATTCGAGGCAAGCGCTCGAGGTAACTACTGCTTCCAGTGTCTACGGCCGACCCTAAAGTATGCTGTCCCTCCCAGGTCCGCGAGATGGACGGCAGCGTGAGCCACGTGGCCAAGACCCTACTGCTGGTCGAGACGGGCGACTCGGAAGACAACAATAACAACAAGCAGAAGAGCAAGGGCAAGGAGCGCGGTGAAGGCAAAGGAAACGAGGACCCCGGCCTCGTCCCCCGCGCCCTCTTCCGCCTCCACCTGCGCTTCGACGCCGGCCGCGTGTTGTTGCAGGCTGTGCTGCAGCTCGTGGGGCCGCCCGCCACCGCGGCCCTGTTCCGCTACAAGGTGGGCCTGCCCTGGGCCTGGCAGGCGAGGCACAGTGGCCCAGAAGACTAGTGGAGGCGGCCAAAACTCTAGACGCGTTTTGAGCTCCGGAGTCGCTAAACAGGACTCGAACCGAACGTGTGACCCCACCAATAGATTCCTCGTTCGGAGAGCAATTCATTGATGGGGTCACTTGTTCGCTTCGAGTCCCATTTAGCGCGACTCTGCAGCTCAAAGCGCGTCTGGAGTTTTTGCCGCCTGTGCCGGTCTTCTGGCCTACACTCAAAAACCCTTACACACTATTTTGGGCCTTACAAAGAAAAGTAGTTTGTATAACAAAGTATTTTGAGCATACGTAAGCTTACAAAGGAAATACTTCGTAATTTACGAACTATTTCTTCGTATAACAAAGTATTTTAGTTTGTTACATGTATGCTCAAAATACTTCGTAAGGTTTTAAGAGTGCACTGTGCGATGTGCGCGCCACTCACATCCCACCCTCCACAGTCCAAATTCCAAATTCGGCCGTCTAGCGGATGGCTGCCAACAGAGCATACTCTTTTTCGTTTAATTTGCAAATTAATGGGTATCATGATACCCATTGAACCTCGATCTGGAATAGGAGTTTTGATGTCCTCTACTGCACAGCAACTCAGGCACTAGCCAACCCAGCTTTTCGCTCCGTTCCCTTCGAACCGCCCCGCCACGCCGGTTACGGTGGTATAGATCGCGTAAATTTTGGGTCACCGATTTTGTTCAAAATTTGAACACTTATTGAGGGGGCTCATTGTAAAACCACTTTTTTTTGGTGTAGAAGTATAAAGATTATGATTTCTGTATTAAAACCCTATTGGATAATTGAGCAAGCTTCATTTTGACATCAAGTCGAGGGGGTAAACACTCCACGAAATCATGTACAGAGTACTCGGTATTACGCGGTATTACTCTGTATTACGGGGATATTACAAGTGTATTACGGCATTAAAATGCCAAAATTTGGCATATTAGGCCCAGACATGATATTACAATTACGTGTATTACGCGTAATACACGGTTTTTGTGTACAGGCTATACATTCGGGAGGGTGTCCGGAGGGCGATTGATAAAGCTAGGAGTCGTGCAACTAATTTTTGGACGTTTGGTGAGGTGTTTAAAACTGACCACTTTTGCCCTTTTCTTTCCCGCCTCCTCAATTACACTAATAATTGTCGGATGAATTTCGGACCGATCAATCGCCTTCCAAAGACCCTTCCCGTGCACAATGGGGTTTTTGCCATTTATTGGGGGAGGCCAGACCATCGCACCCCCCGAAATCGACGGTGATGGAATGGCCAAAGTAGGTGTCAATCCACTCAGGATTAAGGTCATATGACCTTACTCAGGATGACCCCCTGAGTCGCCCTGCAAATTGTTTTTGCCTAACTCCAAACCGTTTAGATTTGAATGCCGCAGTTTTTGGCCACTGAGCATCTGTTGTCAGATAGTGACCAGCCAGCTTTCATTGTCTTCACAAAAGACTACTCAATACATGAAAATAAATTATGTTTGAAAAAGTTGGAAAATATTAAAAAACAAAAATCAGCGAAAAATCACTCAGTAGCCCATTTTGGCCGGTCCTAATCAGGTGGCATTCAATAAGGGTTTCAAGTACACGACAACACTCTGACTGGAAAATCTAATAAAAAAAAGTGAAATCCTTGAGATTGGTGAACGATACATTGTTTTAAAAGTCCCCTTTTCATAGTTTCGAACAAGCCCACAAAACTTAGAACTCTATGCCCCTTCCTAACTCAATCGGTCCACATTTCATACATTAGGCTATTAAAGAAACTTACTACGGCTTGCTACTGCGAGGTTCTTTTCAACTTTTATAGACACTTCTTCGGAAGCTTGGTTACCGCCAATCATCTTTTCCCAAATCAGCATTCCAGATCCAAGAAAAAAATATTTTTAATGTGTTGAGCATCCAACGTGTAGACTTTTGGTGTAAAGGGGAGTAAAATTATATTGCGCAGCCGTCCCCATGAAGGAATGTATCCTTCCTCCAACGCGGTATTTTCCCTTGCTTCATTTTACTAACCTGATGAAGAATTCAACACATTAGTCGATTGGTTCCATCAGTCCTTCATCAGAAGAAACTCCCTGGCTGATATTGGAACTCACATAACATGGCCCACACCACAAAAAACATGAAAATCTTAACATTTGAGACACAAGTTGTTCTGATCACTGCACTTTACTTTTCGAATCGTCTGCTAGGGCTGCGCCAGGCCTAGGTATGAGAAACTTACTGTGTAGCACTATCAATTTCTCATACCTGGGATTGGCGCACTGTAAGCAAACGATTCGAAATGTAAAGTGAAGTGATTAGGACAACTTTTATCTCAAATGTTAAGATTTTCCTGTTTATTGTGGTGTGGGTCATATTATATGAGTTCGAATATCAGTCATGGAGTTTGTTCTGGTACAGGACTGTTGGAATCAATCGACTAATGTGTTGAATTCTTCATCAGGTTAGTAAAATGAAGCAAGGGGAATACTCAGTACATTCCAGTTTACTCGGTTTGCTCGCGACCAGTGAACCTGTACGGATTTTTGGCCAGTGTCTAGAGAGACGCATGCTCGGACCGGAGTCTCCCCAAAGAACACGAAAAGTACAGTCACACAGTGACGTCAAAAAATAATTGCACCATTTTGACTTCCTTTGGCTGCTTTGTCAGTGTCTCATGTTCTGTGGGTCTCTACTCATTATACATTGTTGTACGAAGAAATAGTTCGTAAATTGCGAAGTATTTTCTTAAGCTTATGTATGCTCAAAATAATTCGTTACAACAAGCTGCTTTTCTATAGTTTGCAAGGTTTTCAGTGCGCACACTGGAAACCTGTGTGAACACCTCAACACACACACACACACACTTGAGTTTTCAGTCTCGCTGTTGCAGGTGTCCGTGGCCTCGCAGGACGGCGCCTTCGCGCTGAGCGCGTGGAGCACACCGACCTGCGAGGACGTCGAGGAGGCCGTCGCCGACGGCAAGCTGCTCCGGGTGGACTCGGCTGCGTTCCGCCACCTGGTGGACGCCGACGGCAGGTTCCTGGTGCGCGTCAAGGTGGTCGTCGGCAAGCTGCCCTGCCTCGTGCAGCCCGCCTGATTCGTGTTTCCGACGGAATAAAACGCTTTCATGCAGTGTCTGTAGTTTATATTTTTGTCTTGCACAGTTGCAATTTCGTGCATCTTGTCCTTCCTTTAGGTCTCCAAATTTTAACAGATGCCCAAGGAGAACAGAATTGTCACGAAAAGCTCATCGTGAGCTGATTTCGGGTCACATGTGACCTCATATGTGCTCAAATCGTGACGAAAATCCATCACCTGCAGCTCACGGTGACCATTTCGTGACGATCCTGTTCTCCTTGGGTGACACTTGTAGGATCTGTTCGTGCTCACTTTCTGATAGAAAATGTACCGGCGCCGTTTCGGGCAAGATGACCAACTATCAAAAGGAATGGTAGAAAAGTCATGCTGAATATCAGCGTGACTCGACTCAGAGGTCACGCCAATCTTCGGCAGACTTCAGACTGAATTCAAACAAGCCGCCGCGAAATAGTTCGCTTGACAGCCGCAGCAGCAGCGCGCAGAAAACAACAACAGCAACCAGCAGAGCAACAACAACAACAAGGAGCTCGATTGCGCACGGTGTGTCATCAGAACGTGTAAAGTACTCTTGTTTCCTTGGTCTTGAAATTCTGTGAAGTGATTAGTAACGAGCGCAGCGGCCCTACACTGTAAACTTGGTGGAAGCGGTTGGTCTCCTCGACATGGCCGGGTGGCCTGAGATTGCCACTGCCAAGGAGGAAAACCGGCACGAGTTGATCCTGTCGGGGCAGTCCATTTCCGACAGGATTTCCAAAAGCGGCTTGGATCCGTCCTTGTTCCGCTTGACAGGCCTCAACTTTCTGCGCATTTCTGAAACTTGCCTGGAGGCTGTTCCTGACTCCGTTAGCAACTTGCAAAGCCTCTTGACACTCGTTTTGGACTCCAATAAAATCAAGGCCCTAACCTCCTCTGTGAGCAAGTTGTCAAAACTGAAAAACTTGGATGTGTCACGCAATGTGCTGGATGATTTTCCGGAGGAGGTGTCAGTGCTCTCAGCACTGTATTCACTCAACTGTTCATTCAACAAACTGACAACATTTCCTAGCCTTTTGCTGAATCATAGGCTCACGATTCTAGATTTGTCGAACAACTCACTAGAAGACTTTCCCGATGTTTGTTCGGACAAAATGGTTCACTTGTCAGAGATAAGACTAGTCTCTAATAATATCAAGGAGATTCCACATAACATAAATCTTCTTGCTTCTTTGAAACTTCTTGATGTGTCAGATAACAAGATCAAAGAAGCTCCTGGTGAACTGACAGACATCTCAAAACTTAAAGGTGTGTAGAACAAATTGTGCTGACAAGCATTGTCTTTGTTGCCTTTCAATGAATGTTCGCTCAATATTGGCATTCTTTAAGCTAAAATATAACTGGATTTTAACGTAATAAATTTTATACCCTTGTAAACCATGACATTCTAAAATAATCACTGGCCAATCAAAGGCTGATGTTGAGCATGTACCGACACTCATTGATAGGCTTCCTTATAAATTTAATTTTATTGTCATCACAAGTAATTATTCAAGTTTGTCATTTTTACAACTGAAATATTTTTCTTTCGTCTTGCAGAAATAAATCTTAAGAATAATCCTTTGTCTGACAAAAGATTAGGAAAAATGGTGATCCAATGCCATTCAAAGCAAGTGCTGGAGTACATCCGACAACATGGCAAAAAAGAGTCTTCAAATTCTAAAACCTCGTCCAAAGGCAAAAAGGGTCAAAGAAAGTCAAGTAACAGTGAATCCGGCCTGTCTTCCAATGAAATTCCAGACCCTGTGAGTTGAATGGCGCTTGATAAATGAACAGTATCATGTTCTTTTTTTTTTTTTATCACATGGCCTGCAATAATTTTGTTTTGTAATGACAGGTGGACGAGCTTTGCAACAGAATTGATGTGTTGCACGTTACGGACAGTATCCCAGTCATAACTGTAGATAAAGACGTGAAGGCTGTCAGACCATATATACTTTGTTGCATTGTTAAAAACTTAGTTTTCACCCCGGATAGTTTCAAGAGATTTATCAAAATTCAGGTGAAATTTGTTGCCATTGTCTCCCATATTAATTAATTTTCTTTTCATTTGCTTCAGCAATTTAATAATACATTGTGTGCTGAATCTTACAGAATAATTTGCATGATACTCTTTGCAATAAGCGGCAGGCTGCTACTCTCGCCACTCACGATATGTCCCTTATAGCTCCTGGTCCTCTGAAGTATGTGGCTAGAGCTCCTGATCAAGTCAAACTGCAGCCATTGGGGAGTACAAAAGACACTTTAGCATCAGTTGTATTTGCCCGACTCAAGAGCCATGCACATTCTGTGATGCAAGACAAAAAGAGGAACAAATATTCGGGGATTCACAAGTGAGAATTTTTTTTCTATCATGCAATATTTTGTCATATAATATTAATAATCAATTTTGTGTCTTTCATTGCCTCCAGGTTTTTATACCTTCTTGATGGAAAGCCATTGTATCCTTTCCTCATTGATGCAGCGGATACAGTTATCTCCTTCCCTCCCCTGACCAATAGCAATGTTTCCAAAGTAAGCTGTCATTTCCATCCGAGGCAATGTACCATTGCATTTTCCTTTTTTTAAACACTTTTCTCTACAACTATTGTTTTTATTACAGATGTCAGAGTCTTCAAAGGAGATGCTGGTTGAAGTTACCAGTTCAGCATCACTGGCCACAGCCAAGAAAGTGATGGACACATTTTTACTGGAATGTGTTCGCCTGGGCATTACACAGTCACCAGAGGTCACTGAAGGGGAGCAGGCCACTAATGTTCCTGCTAGCAAAATACTCACTGTACAACAAGTTAAAGTTGTAGATTCTACTGGAGGCTTTCAAGCTGTTTATCCTTCCCGAACTGATCTTGCCTTTGAGGAGGCTGATGCAGTAAAAGTTGTGCACAACTACAATTAACTGTGAAATATACATGGTTTGAAAATACATATTTGCATTTGTTTCTCTAATTTAATGGCTCAACTTTTTTTTTTTAAACAAATTTGTTTAATGCAGAACCAGTGTGATTGTAAGGATAGAAGTAAAATAATGGCACATCAGCTTTTTATTGTAACAACCTTTTAAGGATAGAAAATTGTAGTAAAAATATCACAGGTGCACTTTACCTCTAGTTTTTTACACCTTGGAACTGCTCAGTTGATCACAGACAAATGGGACAATCTCAACACATGATAAAAGCAGATCTAGTCAGAATGCCTATTCTTAACACAAATGGCAGTTAATTATCCTTTAATTTCCTTCAACAATATGCTTAGCAATAATTCTTTTTAAGTCACTTAGACAGAAAGGGATTTCCATACCGGAGCTATGTCACCAAGAAATTTCAATCAATTTTGTACCATACATATATTTGATGTTCTCAGAGCGAGCACTTTGGCCCACTTCGAGGCTGGAAATAAAAAAATTAATTTTGTTTAGCCTTACTGTCAAAATTTATTTAGCAAAAAATGATAGAAAATATTAAATAAGCACTTACTTTCAGTTCTTTCTCAGGGTCCAATGGGGCAAAGAAATCATCAACCATCTGTTGAGTCACTTCTTCAATTGATGGGGGAATCCATTGGGGGTTCTGATCCTTGTCAATCAGCAAGGCTCTCACACCTAGAAAATGGGCATTTTGTCAGTCCTTTTCCCTTCCAAACTAGAGGTGTGATAATGTTACAAATAAAAAGTAGAAAAGGAGAAAGAAATAAAAAGGAAAAACATACCTTCAATAAAATTGGGTCCTTCACAAGATCTGTATGCAAGACGGTACTCCATTTGAAGGCATTCCTGGAGACTGAGATCGGCACCAAGTTGAAGTTGTTTCAGTGTTATTTTCATTGACAGAGGGCAAAGTTTCTTCAAACTGGCCAAGGTTTCCTTAGACCAGTCCGAACCATCTCTTTCAAGCCTCTGGAAAATTTCTTCCATTGTGGGTGCAGAGAAAATACTATCAATTTTGTTGATATGAGGTTCCAAGCTGAATTTGGACCCTTCAGGAACTTTTTCATAAGGCTTCAAAACTTGGCTGGGATTTTTAGTGGTCAAAATATCTTTTTCGATTTTAGGTATTTCAGCACTGGGGCAATAATGCGTGGCAAATCCAACAAAAAGATTATCTACTCCCTTCAGCCTGTAACCCGACAGAGCTAGGTATATTCCAAGTTTTCCTTTGAGCCGTGAAAGGAAATAGCTGCCGCCCACATCTGGAAACAGGCCAATTGCTGTCTCGGGCATAGCGCTCAATGTTTTTTCTGTGGCAACACGATAGTGACCATGAACAGATAAACCAAGGCCACCTCCCATAGTAATACCATCAATCAAAGCAACATAAGGAATGGTATATGTTGCAATAAGGCAGTTCAACATGTATTCCTGTTTGAAGAGGCGCTTGCCGTAGTCTCCACCTTTCTTATTATCAAGCGTAATAGTTCTAACATCTCCACCGGCACAGAATGCTTTACCTCCAGCTCCTTTCGCAATAACTAACTTTTTCTCTTTCTCCCATCTCAGTAAAGTATCATAGCTCCTTTGAACCATGTTGAGATTGACTGCATTGAGCGCCTTGGGTCGGTTTAAAATCATAACTCCACAGTCCCCAGCATCCTGAGCGATGACTTCGTCTTCAGCCTCGGAGGACATTGCTCTCTGCTGAAACGCGTTAGCTAGGGGTGGTCGCTGTCTCAGTGATGATTTCGCTGCCTGTCTCACAGCAGAAGAAAGTTTCAGGCAGAGATTCTGGAACAAGGTAAACAGATGATCAGTACACAAAACCGTCATGATTCTCACAAAGATAAGAGAGTGAGAGGAAACTAGGGGAATGACAGTGAAATAACAACGTCTTTCAGAAGATTACGAAACGTTACGAAGCATGACATGGCTCAGTAGCGGCATTACATCGAGCATTTACATAGCAGAAGGTAGCATGATTCAGGTTATGATAATGATGTGTTCATTACCATTTTACGTGTAAGTACTACTTGGCACCTCTCCGTCGAACTGTCACAGGGTTCTGGTCAAATCTTGAGTGGAACTCAATCTTGCCTTATCATACGCACTTGTCACGCAGAAAGGGCGACAGCCACTGGACCGCGACTAAAATCTTATCGCCGTCATCACCTTTGAAATACTTCTTTCTGCTTGGCTCTCCTCCCCCCTCCCCTCCCCCCGGTTCCTTCCCGCCCCCGCCCCCTCCTCTCCTGTCCCGTTCCGCACGTAGGTCTTCAACTCACCAACAGAGTGCGCGCGCGTAGCCACTAGACTGTCGAAATTCCCTTTTCACGGATTTCAACGGCACCCGAACATACATTGAGATGAAATTTGACAGAGATACGGATGAAAGTATTAATGTTATCGTGAGGGAGCTGTCCTTTTGGGCCTTTTCGTCTTTTTCCCTTTTTCCTCTCCCCCTCCCCCTCCGGCCTTGGCCCACTGCGGCCGAACCACACCTCCACAAAACAGCAGGCTCTGGAAACGTCACGCTCCTCTTGATCATATGATCAGGGATTGGAAAAGCTTCGGCCGTCTGCCAAGTTTTTTCTTGATCCTCCTCCTTCGAAAATGAAGGGTTGTTTGTTCAATATCGATGGAGGCTACTTGGAGGGTTTGTGCCGCGGTTTTAAGTGCGGCATTCTCCGACACGCAGACTACCTAAATTTAGTTCAGTGTGAAACTTTGGAAGGTGAGTGGATCTGGCAGCCGAGGTTAGGATAGGAATATAACATTATCTGTGTCACTGGCTCTCATTAAAAATTTCATGCGTTCGGAATTTAAGTGATCAGCGCTTAGTTCTATTTCATTTTGCTACTAACGTGCTTGGTTTTTTTCTGTAATGTCTTCCTATACACATCATAAACTTGTCTGTGATGTCCATATTTTGACATTTCCTTTTAGAACCTTTGCTTAAGTGTTTTCCCAGAAAATATGAATGATTGCGAGTTTTGTTTGGCTTCTTGTGTTCATTCACGTGTGCCTCAAAATTTTAAATTTAGCACCTGCACTAACCTGTCTTGTCTACCTTATACCTGTCACATGACACTTGACTTCAACAAAGACTATTATCTACTTTGTTTTGTGCTTGCAGATCTCAAGCTTCACTTGCAAGGAACAGACTATGGTAGCTTCCTAGCCAACGAACCCAGCCCTCTTTCTGTGTCTGTCATTGATGACAAGCTCCGTGAGAAGCTTGTTTTGGAATTCCAGCATCTGCGCAATCATGCTGTGGAGCCCCTGTCTACTTTCCTTGACTTCATCACGTAAGTTGTTTTGTTCAAAGCAATTTTTCTGCTGCATTTAGGTTATTCATGTCAATATTTAGTTTTTTTAATCATATAACTTTGGTATTTCTGGTATCAGGTACAGCTACATGATTGACAATATCATTCTCTTGATAACTGGAACTTTGCATCAAAGACCCATCAATGAACTTATTCCCAAATGCCATCCTTTGGGAAGCTTCGAGCAGATGGAGGCTATTCATGTAGCAGCAACTCCTGCTGAATTGTACAACGCTGTGCTTGTTGACACGCCTTTGGGTAAGCTGATGAACTAGTTTTTCTTTCTTTTTTTTGTTTTGGTACTTGTTTATACTTCCACTGGAAACAACGACCGCTTTTCTCACTTTTCCAGCTCCATTCTTTGTGGACTGCATCAGTGAGCAGGATTTGGATGAAATGAACATTGAGATCATCCGTAACACACTCTACAAGGCCTATCTTGAAGCATTTTATACTTTCTGCAAGGAGTTGGGTGGCACTACTGCTGATGTCATGTGTGAAATCCTAGCTGTAAGTTTTTAACGTGGTTTCCAGGTTATTTCAAAGTTGATTTTCTTAATGTCTCTGTTTAATACCATTACCTGGTTATTTGTCTTAGTTTGAGGCTGATCGCCGTGCCATTATTATTACAATCAACTCCTTTGGTACGGAACTGACAAAAGATGATCGTGCCAAGCTCTATCCCCGTTGTGGCAACCTTCACCCCGATGGTCTGGCTGCTCTTGCTCGCGCTGATGACTATGAACAAGTGAAGGCCATCGCTGAATACTATGCTGTAAGGATGAAACAAACCTCATAGCAACCTGAAATGTTTTTCCCGTTGCATCTTACTAAGGTGAACACATTGCCACAGTTCTAACTCACTTTTGAACTACAGGAATACCGTGCTCTCTTTGATGGTGCTGGTAACAACCCAGGAGAAAAGACCCTTGAGGACAAATTCTTTGAACATGAGGTAATATTCTTGGCATGATTACCATTAAATCTCAACTTTCAGAAGATTTGAATCAATGCTTAACAATATCTTTGAATTTTTAGGTTCGTCTGAATGTTAATGCTTTCCTGCAACAATTCCACTTTGGAGTGTTTTACTCCTATCTGAAACTGAAAGAGCAAGAGTGCAGGAACATTGTTTGGATTTCTGAGTGTGTGGCTCAAAGGCACCGTGCCAAGATTGACAACTACATTCCTATCTTGTAAACGTTGGTCCCAACCGAAACTTCCAATTCTACCATTCTGCAACTCTAATTATATATAATGCATCGTGCATGTGCACTTACAAATTCAATGGTAATGGCCCAAGCTGGATTTGGATATCATGATTTAGATGAGAAATTAATAATTCTGTGTTGCATAATGTATGTTATGGGTGTGAATTTAAAATGTGGATGCTTGAATGCTCCAAAGCACAGATTTATTTTGTGAATTCTTCATTCTTCTTCTGAATGGAAGGATTTTATCAATAGTAAATGAGAGTTGTTAGATTAAAAGACCCTGGGCTTATGGCTTTGTATGCATAAATCGCAGCTTTCTCTAAGTGTGCTGTGTATTTTTCTGCATCAGCGCTTTCATCATTTACTTTGCCATTTTTACATACGTACATGTTTGGAGTACTTCCATTTATCTAAGAAATTAAGCCATAAAGTCTTTTCTTTTTTTAAAGCAAGTATATGTTTTTTCTTCTTTTTTTTTGTTTTGCCTTTGAGAGACGTATTGAAGTTACCACAAACTGCTAAAACTGCTTTTAGTGAAATGTTTTATCGAAATGAGTTTCATATCATGAAATAGCTATTGGAGTGTGAATTAAAATTTACCTATTGGATTGTTGAATTTATGGTTTGTTATTAATGGTGTTTCTGTGTATAGTAGTAAAAGCATTTTATTGATAATTGCAAAATTTGTGAGCAAACTTTGCTATTTATTCTGAAACAAATTGTTAACTTGTAAAGCACAACATCTCTTAAAACAAAGACATGTCACTCTTGTACTTACTATTTCAGGCTTCTTAGTCTCAAAGTCACAGAGAGCTGTTGATTATTGTTTTGGTATTGTAAATAATGGACCTCTCCTGTTAGTACTTTCAATGGACTTGTTCTTTTTTTATAATTTCTGTAAATATGTGTTTGTACATTTGCCGGTGACAGCAGACAACAGAAGACTTCAGAATTCATGGATCATCAGTCTTTTTCATTGTAATCGTTCAGCCTAAATGTGTGATCACTGTGTATTAATTGTACATTCCAGTATTCATGTAGTAAACATTGTGTTTGAAGACGTTTTTAAATTTTTTTTCTGCAGGACAGATATCCTTTGACTATTACACACATCTACTTTGTGTGAGGTGAGTGCAAATTTGGTGCTTCTCACAAAACCTCCTAATATTACTGTTTCATGCCTAGCTTGGTGATTTATGTTGTAGAATTGTTCTCATGATATCTGAAAGTAATATGCATTAATGCATCACCAGCTTCATTTTCTTCACCATGATGATGTGTTTTAGTATGTCATTTCTGAGCCTAAAATCAACAGAACTTATTTCAAAGACTTATCCTACATATTCTGAGGCATCTCATAGTACATCACAACCTCAGATTAACTGAAATCTTGAGGCCCTTAACATTGTTATACTTGTTTACGCTAGCTAAGAGTAGAAACCTCAGTGGTTCTAATGTCATATCTCTAAAATTAGAACACATGGCACTCACTTGCCTTCTCATGAGACAGACACTCCAAATTCTGACCATAATTAACTCCCACAGTTTTCTTATCTGTTCTCTTGTATCTAGCTCTTTGACCCTATCAAGTACATCAAAATGCAAGACCAACACGATAGAGAGAGGAGTTCAGCAAATTGTGGACAGTAAAGTTAGTGCGAAACCAATTGATTTTTTCTAATTTTTTCTAATAGTAGGGTCAGTTGGGGTAATTATGGGACACAGGGTAAAAATGGGATAGCTGTTTCTTAGTCAAGAATCGAAATTTTAGAACTTGTGCAGTCACAAATGTTCTTTTCTCGATAAAAACATTACATTTGGTATGTCATGCGTTCAAAAATGTCAAATCTTGACTAAGAATCAGCTGTCCCATTATTACCCCAACTGAACCTACTACATTGTGTGTCATATAAGGCATGGATCACCTAGGGAAAGAAAACTAATCTACCACATTCATACGTTCATGTAACATTTCCTTTTTTAAAAAAGTTTATTCGAATAAATAAATGATGTACAATATGAGATATGAGAATAAATAATTGAATGATTGGGTCATGAAAATGAATACAGCTTAGCCTAGAACAGTAGTTTTATATCTACAAAAGTCTAAAGAGATGAACACAAAGAAATAATTACGATACTGCACATACCTAATTAAATACATATATTTTGTGAACGAACTGTGAAAATTTTGACCTGTTGTGTGAGTGGGGTGGGAGCCGACGGCGGGGACTCTTTTGCATCTTGGAGGGAAAGCTAGCTTATACACCATAGAGACGCGTCATCGAGGTAGGCCACCTATTTGGCACGGCAGAGAGAGAGAGGGATGGAGAGGGAGAGAGAGGGGGGGGGGGGAGAAGAGACACGAGTGTTTGCTTCGCGTCTATTTAGCCAGGATTGTCTCAGCCGCGCCGTCAAGGTAGGCAGCCCATTTGACACGCTTCTGCAAAAGCAGCGCTGCGGCGGCAAAACATAAGTCATCATACCGAGCCGGGATTTGAACCCAGATACCTAACCACGGCCGACACCTCAGCCCACTGAGCCACCGAGGCACCGACTGATATGTGTTCTTCTTAACTTAGAGTGATGGTACCGCATTCAAGCAGTGAACTGAGGAAAATGTTCCTGCACTCGGGATTTGAACCCAAGTGCTCACTCGGGGCGTCCACTTCCTCTCCGCTCTCAGCCACCGAGACATTGGTAGTGTGTTCGCCGATGTTGATACTTACTGGTGGTACGGGATTCAAGGTTCAACGGAGAAAAACATTTCCCCATCTGGGATTTGAACCAGTTTCTTCTCTCGGGGCAGCCGCTAACTCTGCGCCCTGAGCCACCTAACCCTCCCTCGCCCGTACTGAGTCTCGTGGTTACCTGACTCTCCTGGTTCGAGAGTTTGGGAACCAAACTCAGGAAAAGATTGAAAGCTACGGGACTCGAACCCGTTCTTTTCCAATAGCAGCCGACTCCTTAGCCCACTCAGCTACCAAATCGCTTTGCTCCTCTCCGGACAAAGTAAGTGATGAGACTGGTGTTATCGGCAGTAAAAATTGTCAAGAAAACGAAAAATAAATAAATAAATGGAATCAAAGTACAATTTACTTGTACACGCATCTCAGTAGTACAGGCTCGATCCATGAAGGCCCTGAGCTAGTGCTGACTTCCAAAGCAGTGCTCATCTCAAGCGGCCGGGACTTTGGTTCACATTGAGAGGGGACTTCCCTTTGGGGGCTGCAATGTCAAATGGGTTGCCTACCCCCGGGCGCGCTCACCATTGCTGGTTGGGTTGCCCACCCTCCGTTGCAGAATGGGTTGCCTATCCACCGGGCGTCCACATGACAGTCCGGTTGGTTGCCTACTCTCCGGGCGCTGGTGGTGCTCCCACCGTTGCAGGATGGGTTGCCTATCCACCGGGCGTCCACATGACAGTCCGGTTGGTTGCCTACTCTCCGGGCGCTGGTGGTGCTCCCACCGTTGCAGGATGGGTTGCCTATCCACCGGGCGTCCACATGACAGTCCGGTTGGTTGCCTACTCTCCGGGCGCTGGTGGTGCTCCCACCGTTGCAGGTGGGTTGCCATCCACCGGGCGTCCACATGACAGTCCGGTGGTTGCCTACCTCAGGGCGCTGGTGGCTCCCACCGTTGCGGGATGGGTTGCCTATCCACCGGGCGTCCACATGACAGTCCGGTTGGTTGCCTACTCTCCGGGCGCTGGTGGTGCTCCCACCGTTGCAGGATGGGTTGCCTATCCACCGGGCGTCCACATGACAGTCCGGTTGGTTGCCTACTCTCCGGGCGCTGGTGGTGCTCCCACCGTTCGTTGGCTGGCGGCGCCGGGCGGGGCGCACAATGAGGGCGCGCAAGCAACCTAAGGGTCCAAGGCCAAGCAGACGACGTTGGGGCCGGGCTTGTCGGCCCTCTCACTCGCACTCACGCATCCACCCCACTGTTCGTTTCCTTCCCGTGGCAGCAGAGGGCGTCCCGACGTAACGACAAGCGATTTTCACCACCTCGCCAAAGAGTCCGTCCACACACGTGACGCGGGGCGAAAGGCCAGAAGACCAGTAGAGGCGGCCAAAATTCTACACGCGTTTTGAGTTCCAGAGTCGCTCAACGGGACTCAAACCGACAGTGTGACCCCACCAATGGATTCATCGTTCGGACAGCTATCCATTGGTGGGGTCACACGTTCGGTTCGGGTCCAATTGAACGGCCGAAAACGCTTGGCCGGCTTGTCTTCCGCGTTCACTTGCTTCACTTGCACACGGCGACCCACTCGTCCACGGTGCACGTCTCGCACTTGACCTGGCAGCACCACATGAAGGAGCACTGGCAGCGGCGCGTGTGGTTGGCGCGCACCAGGTTGTAGCCGCGGCCGCAGCACAGCGAGTCGCAGCCCTCGGCGGGGTCCACGCCGGCGGCCGCGGGGTCACGCTCGCAGCGGCGGCCCGCCGTGCCGGGGAAGCCGACGGAGGCGTCGCGGTCGCAGAAGTTGGGCGAGCGCTGCAGGTACAGGAGGTCCAGCGACAGGTCGCGCGCGGGGCGCCGCCGCGGCCGCGGCCGCCGCTTGGGCCGCTGCCGGTACGGCCGGTTGCTGTCGACGTCGCCGCCGACGGCGTCGGCGTCCTCGTCGGCGTCCTCGTCGACGCCGTCCTCGACGGCCGCGGGCGCCGACGGCGGCCGCCGGTTGGCGCGGTTGGCGCCGCGCTCGCGCAGCAGCGGATGGCCGCCGCCCAGGTTGCTCTGGTCCACCAGCACGGCGCCCTGGAAGCGCTCCTTGAGCGCCGTGCCCACCAGACGGAAGTCCGGCGCCGCGCGCCAACACGTGCGCAGCTCGCACGACCCCGACACGCCGTGGCACTTGCAGCGCACCTGCATGTTGTTCTTCACCGCCTGCAACAGGGGACGCCGTCAGCAACATGCATAAACAATTTCACCGCAAAGCCGGTGGCTTTTGCTTGCCACGAAATTGGCAAGCCGTTTTGAACGCCAAACATTGGCAAGCCTGGCCCTGAAATACTCCCAAGCTTGCCAAAATTTGGCATTGCAGGCGGCCAAAGCGCCAAATATTGGCAAGCTGGTGAAGATTTCAGGTTTAGTGCTTGCTAATTTTGTGCCACCGGATAAAAGCGCAGTCTTGGTGGTGGACTGTACCACTCCTCAGTGTAAATCTTTTAGGAGATGGCATTTTTATCACTTGATAAAAATGACAATTTTGTCACAAGTTGCTGAAATTTTCATCAAATCTCCCGTACTTGTTGTAAATGTGAACACGGCATGTGGCACTCCGTTCCTAGCCAAAACTAGGCCTTTTAGCCCCGGAAAGTCCTCTGGGAACTCCAAAATTTTTGGCACTCTAGAGGCTTGGAATAAAAAAATCCTGCCATTATTGGCAATCCAGGGCCAGAAGGCAAAGTTTTCGGAGGTGTTGGCCGCCATGAGAACGCCCCGGGTCCTGACGAACACGAAACACTAACGAAGCAGTCAAAGGACGTCAAAATGATGTCAAAATGATGCTTTTTTTGTCGAAATTTTGACTGAAATTGGTCATATTGACATCAAAATGACGTCACTGTGAGCGTTTCGTGTTCTTTGGGGTTCGACATCCAGACGCTGCCACCGTTTTCCGGCAAACCTCACAAACGCAACGACATCGCGCGACAAACCCAAGACAGGAAACTTGCCGGTCGTCCCAGATTCCGGACCGCAGCGCACCGCTGCAGACTGATTCCGAGAGTCGTTTTCGTCGCCCTGTCTCTCTCGCTCCCACACGGAAGCCCCCGTGCCATGGCACGACACGACGACGGAATCAGTCTGCAGCGCACGCGAGGGGTGACCCACTGTAAAATTTTGTGTTTACAATGATTGTGTGAATGTGCAAGAATGTGCAAGATTTCTTGCTTTTTTGCCACACATGTTGCTTACTTACAGGCGTTTTTGCCACCTGAATGTGGAATGTGGTCAAATTTTGTACAACGAATGTGGGAAGCTGTTCCCCCCTCGAGCCACGGGCTCGGGGCTCGGGGGCCACCCGCGAGCCAAATGCAGCAGCATGCAGGCTAGAACCATCATTCCGACGGGCCGTGGCGTACCCCGTACCCCTCCCCCCTCCCCCACTCTATCCGGGCCGCACAAGCACCGTGCCCAATTGATTGCGATGGAACCTGGCCGACGGAGGGGAGGGGGAGGGGAGGGGAGGGGAGGGGAGGGGAGGGGAGGGGAAGGGGGGGGAAGGCGAACGGAATGGAACAGAACGGGACGAGAGATGAAATGAGGCAGCCGTGCGGTGGTGAACGTCTTTACACTCCAAATGATAATAAAAAAGCGGTCTGCAGCCAGCGGACTGATTCCGAGAGTCGTTTTCGTCGCCCTGTCTCTCCCGCACTCGTGGGGCGTCCCGTGTGGGTGCGAGAGAGTCAGAGCGACGAAAACGACTCTCGGAATCAGTCTGCTGGTGTCGGGACGTGAAAGAGAGAGGCCAGTGCGACGCCGCCTGGACGGGGCGTCAGAATATTGCGTGTGGCGGCCGGTGGGCAGGGCACTGCTGTCTCTCTCGCACTCGCGGGGCGCATCGATAGGGCGTGAGGGGGACAGAGCAACAGAACACTGTTCGGCATTGGAACTTCTGGCGGAGTGCAAGACGCGGTCACAGCGCCGCGTGACAAGTTGCCAAAGTGCGCGTATTGTGTACACAGGAACCACAGCTCCACTGAGATTCCAAACGATATGCCTATAGCACGCGTGGTGCAACGCACTGAGATATCGCACCATACGTGCAAAGCCTCAGCCATATTGCACCTTAAGTGCAATGCGTCCCGAAAAGGCCCTATGCCAATGCACGGGAATGGGAAGGCATATTGCACTTCGTGCAATGCTTTTGCATTGCACCAATTCATAGCGTTTGGATTCTCAGTGTCCCTATTTTAGGCAAACTTCATTTACCCCCCACCCTTCGCACATACTTCTTTGGCAAACCCATAACCAGATGCAGACGTCAGACGCCAGTGATTCGAACCCTCCTTCCCCTCCCCTCCCTCCAATGCCTCACGCACCCCATGCAGCGTTATCAAAGCTATCGCACAGTGGGCCAGAAGACCGGTGCAGGCGGCCAAAATTCTAGACGCGTTTTGAGCTCCAGAGTCGCTAAACAGGACTCGAATCTGGCGTGTGACCCCATCAATGGATTCCTCGTTCGGAGAGCAATCCATTGGAGGGGTCACCCGTTTAGTTCGAGCTCTTTTAATCGTCTCTGGAGCTCAAAACGCGTCTAGAATTTCGGCCGCCTCCACCGGTCTTCTGGCCCACCGTGCATCGGCCGCAGTTCCACGGTGCCGCCACGCCGCCGCCACCGCGCACAATCACCAGAGGAACCGCGTCAGCGCGGCGGCGGTCTACGGAAACCAGGCGGTTGTTAATGAAGACCCGGGACGGGGATTGAGAAATTGAGACGTCTTTCTCCGTCGGCCGCCACGACGGCGACCACGGCGGTGGCGGCGGCGGCGGTCGGTCTCCTGCCAGGGAAGCCAACGGAACGAACGCGGCGGGGCGGGGCGGGGCGGGGCGGGGGCCGCAGGGTGTGAAGAAGCCTGGATAATTCAAAAACGCGCGTGGAATTGTGTGTAGGTATCTGCTCACCGCGGTATCTTGGCCACGCGGAGCTCGGCGGGGCGAGGCGGAAAGGGGGGGGGGGGGGGGGGCGTGTGGGGCGACGGCGAGCCAAGGTGTGAAGGAGGCGTGCTGGTCGCGGGGCGGGGCGGGGCGGGGCCAGCCCCCGGGCGAGATCAATTAACTATGGCTATGTGTGTGGCTTTCGGAGTCGCCACGCCACGCATCAAAAAAGGAGGGAGGGGAGACGTGTCGGGTACAAATAATATCCCGCGCACACGGCGCGCCGTCTTCGGAGAGAAAAAAGTAAGTCATCATGGAAATGGATCGTGTTGTGCGGCAAACGGCTCTACTTGAAGCAGGTGTCCCCGTGGCGGTCGCGGGGCTGTCCTGGCGGAGGCTTGGGGTCGCACAGTGGGCCAGAAGACCGGCGTAGGCGGCCAACTCCAAACGCGATTTGAGCTCCCAGATTCGCTAACAGGACTGGAACCGAACGTGTGACCCCACCAATGGATTCCTCGGTCGGAGAGCAATCCATTGGTGGGGCCAAACGTTCTGTTCGAGCCCCATTTAGCGACTCTGGAGCTTAAAACGCATCCGGGATTTTGACCGCCTTAACCGGTCTCCTGGCGCACAGTGCGGTGGGCGGTGGGCTTCGCGGACGACGGTGGCGGCGCCGCCGCTTTCATGACGCGAACGGTCTCCGGTGGTCTCGGAGGGTCCACGTCGTCCGCCCTGCCCCGCCAAGGACACCAAATTACAGCCCTGGGTGCGAAAAGCGGGCGAAATGAAGCAATTGAAGAGGGTCGGCGGTGTCGGGGGTCCAGGGGCTTCAGGTCGACCGCTCGTGCCCACCAGGGTCCCCGATGACTCCGACCAGTGCCACTCTGTCTCTCTCGCACGCGGCCTTCACGTAGGAGTGCGAGAGAGACAGCGCTGCAGGCCAGCGCCACCTGCGAGGTGTCAAGGGAAGTGTGTGGCCCAGTGGGCCTCGCCGGCACCGCCCGCAAATGGGGCCGCTTGGTCACGGCGGCAGCGATCGCTCCGTCTCCCTCCCACTCACGTCGCGCCGCGGGCACACCGTGGGCATGCCGCGGGGGTGCGAGAGAGACAGAGCGACGAAGCGACGCGGCCATTACGACGAAATTCGGCCTCATCAGCGAGGGATTCCCGCGACCGGCACCGCCGGCCACCGGCACGAGGGTCTTGGGCGGGCCAGCGGACGGATTCTGAGAGTCCGTTTCGTCGCTCTGTCTCTCTCGCACTCTTAGGGCGTTCCGTATAGGTGCGAGAGAGACAGAGCGACGAAAACGACTCTCGGAATCGGTCGCGCAGGGGCGGGCCGGGGATCCGGAAGGGGGCGGCGCGGCCAAAGCCAGCGGAGCCAAAGCGGCCGAAGGGGCGCGCGGGGGGCGTGCCTCCTCGGGGAAGCGGGGAAGGAGGGGTAGATTGAGGTCCGTCCGGGTTGGAGGACCACCCGAGGAGGGATCACACCTCAGCTGTTGAAAGTCGCCCTCGGGGCGTGGCGTGCCGCGGCGGGGCGGGGCGGCGCTGTGGAGCCACACGCATCCGATGCAGCCGGCCAGCAGAGTCCGTTTTCGTCGTTCTGTCTCTGTCACACTCGTGGAGCTTCCCGTGCAGGCGCGAGAGAGACAGAGCGACGAAAACGACTATCGGAATCAGTCTGCAGCCGGGCAGCTTGTGAAGTCCGCGCGCCCCGCCCGTCGCCGCGCCGCTGTGAAACACCGATTCACATAGTGTTCTGCTCCGGCATTAATCGAGGGGTCACATTCCTCTACCCCCCCTCCCCCACCCTTCCCCTCCCCCTTTCCCTCCCCTTCCCCTCCCCTTCCCCTCCCCTTCCCCTCCCCCTTTCCTCCCACTTCCCCTCTTCCCTTCCCTCCCCCCCCCCCTCCCCCCTCTTCCCCTCCCTTCCCGCCCCCGCCCACCCACCCCGGATACTGACCAGCCTGCCCGCGCGGCCGTTGTGCTGCTCGACGCGCGCCTGGATGTCGGCGGCCGGCCTGCGCCCGTCCAGGAAGGCCTTGGCGAAGTCCCCGCCGAAGTAGACGTTGTGCGAGCAGCCGCTCCACTTCCAGCGCGCCGCGGGGAACGTGGCGGCGCCCGGCGGACTCGACGAGGTGCCCGACGAGGTGCCCGACGAGGCGCCCAGCGGGCCCAGGGCGCGCGCTCCCACCCACGACAGGCGGCCGCTGCAACGGACAGAGAGAGAAAGGGTCAGCGCGCGGTCGGGGAGGAGGAGACAGAGAGAGATTTGATCGACTGGTTTGCTTATTGGGTGCAATGCAAGAGGACTCTAGAGTCCCACGATACAGCAGACAGGGAGAGACAGACAGGACAGACAGACAGAAAAACATAGAGACAGTGAGGGTTTACACTGTGAACGCTACAAGTTACAACACGGTCAGCACGTTTAATTTGTAATACATACGATGAAAAAGTTCGAAAATTAACGGGCTATTTCCAATGTAAGCTTACGTATGCTCGAAACACACTAAGTTACTAAGTAGGTTTTTCTGCGCGCCAGTGCACGAAATTAAACATGCACTTCGTAACGCAGGAATTTGTCGCGACAATGCACGATTTCGTGCGCAAGTGTGCAGAAAATCGTGCATTGTCGCGCACAAATTTGTACGTTACGAAGTGCATGTCGTGCATTGGCGCGCAGAAAAACATACATAGCAATTTAGTGTGAATGCGTTGATGAAGGCACTTCACTTCGTAAGGCTTAGTTCGTAATGTTTTCAGTGTGAGAGTGGACTAGCACAGCGTCTTTGCGTGCAGGAGAATCACCGACGTGGCCAGCCGGGCCAGAAAAGGCAAACGGTCATGTGTGGTCCAGCCATTAATAGCAATAGCAACAGGGGCAAGGTAGGCCACCATCCGGACACCGGAGCGCTGCCGGACGGGCTGGTGGCCTACCCGGCAGGCGCTAGAGGCAGTTCCAGGTTTTCCTGTGACTCTCCAATCAATCTCAGTCACAAAATCGTCTCTTTGTTGTTAACAGTTTGTGGGCAGCGCTGTCAACGTCTACAAACAAGACCAGTCACTTCAGTATAGGACGGTTTGCGACGCGTCAGCCTGGAGACCTCTACGCACGAGTGGGCCGAGAAATGAACGCGGCGCTTCGTCGTGGCGACACACTTGCCAAAGTGCGCATGGCGCCACGCCCCAAGGGAAAGTTCCAAAAAACTTCTGGAATTTGATCAAAAATTTTAATTTTTCCCACAGCGCAAGTATTGAGGTGTTGCTATGGTGATGAATAAGATGGCAAATTGACGAAAATTATTTCGTAAACTGAAGAAGGAGCCTTCACGCTTTAAGTCTTTTGAAGTGTTTTGAGCATACGTACAAGTGTTTTCTTTTTTAGCTCAAAATACTTTGTTTCTACTTTAGTCAAAGTTTTGACAGCGTTCAGCAATTTATTTTTTCCAGAGGTACACTCTAAATGTTGTACGGTGAAGATTCTCCATATTATGGTGAAAATGTTCCACATTAGGGTGGTGCGGCTGCTGACTTCATGACATACCGTTGAGAATTCGCTGTACCTTATAGACATTTTGGACGAATTTCGTTGGTATTATAGGGCAAAAATCTCCACACTGTTATTCAAATTGCGATAACCACCGTATATATTTTGCAATAAAAAACTTATCACATTTTTTTTGCTATAATGACAACTAAATATCTGCAATAAAAAATTTATAGCAAAATTTTGCAATAAAGTATCACATTTTTGCGATAATGACTACAAAGAAAATGCAATAAAAAGTTATCTCAGAAAAAAATGTGATAAAAGTTACTACAAAACGCTCTATTATCGCAAAAATTATGGGGTGGTTATTGCAAAAAAAGTGCAATAACAAAATTATCGCACTCCAGGATGCGATAAATCGTGGGAATCGCAAACTCGGTTTTATCGCAAAAATTTGTAGTAAAAGTATCGCAAAATGAATGACAGTGCACCTGTTGGTGCAGCCTTTCACCGTAAGACATTTGTATCTCCGTAATCCCAACTCCATGATTCTTCACAGTGTATAGCATCCACGTCACTGCAAGACTTTTTCGAGTGCAGGCCCGAGACTTACCTGTCGGACACCTCAGAGTGGTCGCAGCCGCAGTCCAGCAGCTGCCCCCGCGCGCACGCCCGGGAGATGGCGTGCGTCACGCCGGCCGCCGCGATGGCGTGCGCGAAGGCGGACTCGCGGAAACCTGGCGACACGGATTTACTAATCGGTATGGCTGTCGTGCTAAGCACTAGAAAAAAAAAAACAACAACAAAACACCCCAACGGCAAGTAGGTAAACAGACAACGACAACATGAACGTACAAAGGATTCCACGCGTAGTGCGGGTCTAAAGAAATGCAGGCGACTACTCGTGTTGGAGCTGCCTGTGCAGCAGTAGGTGGTGCAGTGTGACTCCACTTCTAAACTAAACTAAAACTAAACGCACTCACAAAAAAAAAATGATGTGAAATTCATCAATGAGTTTGAGTTGTTTTAACTTTTTCCATGACACAGGAAACAATATCAATTTGATACTACTTGAGATGAACGCGAGGTCAGCGGAGTTAAACGTTAAAATCTCAATCAAATAAGGGGCCATGTAAACACGCCCCCTTAAAAACATTGTATTTTGTTTTGTATGTTTTTTGTTTTGTATGTTTTTTTTGTATGTTTTTTTTGTTTTGTATGTTTTTTTGTTTTGTCTGTGTTTTTTGTTTTGTATGTGTTTTTCGTTTTGTATGTGTTTTTTTTGTTTTGTATGTGTTTTTTGGCATACTTCTTTTTGTTTGTTTGTGCGAGGTGATGTGAAAAATGTCCTGATTGGGTCCGTGCTGCTCGATCCGTCCCCCCGGGGTCATTTGACCACTCGGTGGCGCGCCATGGCGGTACCCGTCGCGCTATGACGCTAAGCGTGAGAACTCAGCCGGCGAGAGCGACTCTGAGAGCGAAACGCGACCCGGGTCCACTGCCACTGGCGTGGCCATGGCGTGGCCATGGCGTGGCGTGCCCCCAGCCCCCGTATCCCTGTATGGACTCACATCACCGCTCCGTCATTTTAGTGACTTCTGATCCTCGTGATGGCCGAGGAGAAAAATGAGGAATAAAACGAAACGACGACAGAGCGGCGCTGTCGCGTTCTGGACCGGGAAGAGACTCCTCGTTGAAGGCGAAGCCGTCAGCGCGAGAGCACTTCAGTTCGAGGTCATGGTCCATAAGCTGTGTACAAATTTGTACACAAGGTACAGTTATACACTCTGAAAACCTTACAAACTATTTTCAGCCTTACAAAGAAAATTAGCTTGCTATATCAATGTATTTTCAGCATGCATAAGATTACAAAGAAAATACTTCGTAATTTACAAACTATTTCTTCGTACAACAAACTAAATTAGTTTGTTCGTACTATATGCTCAAAATACTAAGTAAGGTTTTGAGCGTGTTCTGAAGCACAATGTGGAAATATTGTCCCCAATTTACGTACAAAATTGGGTACATATATTATTTATACACAAACATGACAATAGTTATGGACAAATGAAAGTACATAAAAATTTAGTGTGTAGTGCGTGGTGGGTCAGTGTTCGCAGTGATCGCACAACCGCGTCACGCACGCCAGGCCCGGCAAGCCATGGCAAGCCGTCATGCAGGCCCCCCGGTGGCCGTCATGTCAAACTCATGTCCCGATGCCATGTCAACTCATGTCAGCGCCATGTCATATGTCGCCATCGTCGCCAGGCGCTCCGCATGGCTCCATGCCGTCGAGTCAACTCACTTCTCGCGAATCGTCAAAAGGCGCACCGTGTGCTCCACGCTCTCTCTCTCTCTCTCTCTCTCTCTCTCTCTCTCTCTCTCTCTCTCTCTCTCTCTCACGGGACGCCGCCATGAGTGCGAGAGAGACAGAGCGACGACGCCGGGCGGCGGTTCGGACGCAGCCACCAGAAGAAAGTAGTGGCCTGTTTGGAAGTCGCGTAGCGCCACGCGGGGCCGCACCTGTCGTCCGCTAGCAGTCTGATGCCGAGGGTCGTTTTCGTCGCTCTGTCTCTCTCGCACACATGTGCGTCCCCTGTAGGTGCGAGAGAGACAGAGCGACGACTCTCGGACTCGGCCCGCCAGCATGGGGGCCTCGTCGGCGTCCTGGCGGACGAGCGCGCCGCCACCGCCATGCCTTGACGTGCCGCCTTTCGTTATTGACGTGATTTTTTTCGACGAGGGGGAAAAAGTTAGTATGATGTACTGTGGCGGCTGGTGCGGATTAAATCGCCTCCCACATCAGAGGTTCCTTCGAGGATTTTTGTTTGTTTTGGGTACAGAATTTGGCGGACATGAGCAAGGATGTGCTGTGATTGGGTTGAGTAAGGTTTGGATCAGAATTAGACTTGGTAGGCTTGGACTGGTAGGCTGGTGCTTGCTTAGACTAGGTTTGAACAACCCAACTCCGTCTCCAGTTAGCCCTGTCTCAAGTCATCCCTCCCTAAATTGTTGGCTGAGCGATAGCGAAGCCCGTTACTCAGGTGGGGTTGAAAAATTTTGTCTGTCTGTCTGTCTGTCTGTCTGTGTGTCTGTCTGTCAGCACTACTCCTCCTGAACGGCTCGGCCGATCTGGCTGAGATTTTGCACACTTTTTAGGTAAGTTCTTGGCTCGGCACACGCGAAATTTCACTATCCTAGCTCAACTGGTTCAGTTTTTTTATAGCCCAAAAGCACATAAAAAACGGCGAAAAATCGAGTTTACTGCAGGCAGATCAATTTTGTCTTGAAGAAGGGGGGTCTGGGGGCGGAGCCCCCCAGCATGCAACAAGTTTGAGGTAACCGACGATGGGCAAGCCATGGCCTGCCGAAGGCAGGCTAGCGCCGCAGGCCAAGGTAGGTACGCCAGGCGCGGATTGGAGGAACAGGCAGCGAGACATCGCGAAGCCTGTTACGACAAGACGCAGTCTGGCGTAAACCTACCTTGTATCAAGTTATTCCTGAATTGTCTCAAGCTACCCCTAAATTGTTTCAAGCTGTTCTATTGTCTCAATAGCTGCCTCTAAATCGTTTCCAGTTACCCTTTAACTGTCTCAAATTACCCCTAAATTTTGTCAAGTTTGGCGTACAAATATTACGTAACGTCTCCTCTTTGAGGCCTCTTTTTGACCCCCTCCCCCCCGTCCATAATCGGTTCAACCCAACCTTCCCATGTATTTAAGACAGGACCGTCATCAGAGGCCGAACACCCTCCCCCCCTAAAAGTGATGACGTAGTATTTGCACGCAGCCTTACCCCCAAATTATCTCTAATTCCCTTAGTTATCTCAAGCTACCCCAGTTTGAGATCAAAGTGGCTGAAACACAATGGGCCCGAAGACCGGCGCAGGCGGCCGAAACTCCATGGACTGCAGAGTTTCAGAGAAGCTAAATAAGACTCGAACCAAACGTGTGACCCCACCAATGGACTCCTCGCTCGGAGAGCAATCCATTGGTCGGATCACACGTTCGGTTCGGGTCCCATTTAGTGACTCTGGAGCTCAAAACGCGTCTGGAGTTTCGGCCGCCTGCGCCGGTCTTCTGGGCCACTGTGCGACATCCCCTTGTTCCTCACCTGCGCGCATGAGCGCGGCGCCCTGCGGGTTGCCGGCGAGTCCGGCCAGCCCCCTCGGCGACAGCGTGGAGCAGTTCCAGCGCTGGCTGCGGAACTGGAGCTGGCACTCGTTGTGCGCCATGCGCAGCCCCTGCAGCGCCGTCCAGGTGGCGTCGGGCTGCCGGCGGCACAGCGCCTGCTGGTCGCGGCTCAGCCCCGCCAGCGTGCGGCACAGCAGTGTGCCCGCCAGCCCGGCCTCCTCGTACGCCAACGCGCCGGCCAGCGACCCGGGCCTGCAACCAAACACACTGTCAAAACCAGGGCGGGAAATAGCACGGTAAAAACGGTATCTGGTTTTTCCAGAAAGCCTATGGTAGAGACATAGGCGATTTTCAGGGAGAACCAGGAACCGTTTTTACCGTGATTTTGAATTTCAGTGAACAAGTTTTTGAATTCCTCATAAATTTTTCGATGACGTTTAATGAACTGCAGCCAAATTTCCATGAATTTCGATATGAGTTTGACTGGCTGTGAAAGAATTTAGTTGAGGTGTGAATAAATTTCATGAATTTAGATGACCATCATTTTGATTATCTACGAAATTCGGTGTAATCATTTTTTGGGATTGTTCCCCTTGGTTTACAAATGTCTTTGCGGTGGAAGGCTGCACCAACATATTACGTACAGTGAAGATTTTTTCCAGAGTACAAAAGACAGTCGACATAATACTATAAGGTCAGTTACAGAGTCAGGTGCACCACCATAATACAGAAAATTTTCACCATAATATGGAGAAGTTTCACTCTACGACTTTTAAAGTGTGACTTTTGAAACGAAAAGGAAACCGAGTCTCATTGGCAGCATAACAACGAAAATGCTTGTAATACAAACGATTAGTTTGTAAGAAAAAGATAAACAAAGGCTTGGCGAGCTGCACAAGAAAATTGTGCGAGGGCAACGCAGGATCTTCTCCTTGCGTTTCAAACAAAATCCGAGCACGATGGACGTCTTGAAAGCCAGCCAGTGAGCCTACGCGGCACTGCCCGACTCCAGTCCGAGCGAGCATGGCGCCTGGAGGGTAGGCAGTCCCGGACGCACGTCTGTTCGACGGGCCTGCATCGACGCTGCCGTTTCTGCGGTTAGGCACTACGTACGCCACGATCAGGACTCGTCAACACACAAACAACCAAACAAAGGAAACAACAATCCTTGACTCCTACGCACTCCTTTGAGGCCTTCCTTTCGCACCCAACCACCTGTCCGACGAGGGAAACAACCCCGCTTGTCGACACAGTCCCATGCTGTTATGTCATCCTTTTCTCGGCCAGTCTCCTTCCGAACGGTGGTGGTCTCGACGCACTGTCTCTCTCGCACTCGTGGGGCGTCTCGGAGGGTGCGAGAGAGACAGAGGGGGTCGCTGCCGCTCTACAGTGGGCCAGAAGACCGGCGCAGGTGGCCAAAACTCCCGACGCGTTTTGAGCTCCAGAGTCGCCAAACAGGACCCGAACCGAACGCGTGACCCCATCAATGGATTGCTCTCCGGACGAGGAATCCATTGGTGGGGTCACAGGTCTGGTTCGAGGCCTGTTTAACGACTCTGGAGCTCAAAACGCGTCTGGAGTTTTGGCCGCCTGCACCGGTCTTCTGGCCCACTGTGCGCTCACCCCGCTTGCTTGCTCTACTCGTTATCGTCCACCCCTGCGGACACTGATTCCGAGAGTCATCGCTCCGTCTCTCTCGCACTCGAGGGGCGTTCCAAGTGGGTGCGAGAGAGACAGAGAGACGACTCCTGGAGGCAGTCTGCTGCACGTGCTGTTTCCCCGGCCGTGGTGTTGGCAGTGGCGTTAGCACGGCGCCGAGAGCCCGTGCGCGCCAAGTAGACCAGGTTAGTGGTGCCCAAACGCCAGCCACCTGATTCAGGAGGCTCCCTTTCGTCGCGCTGTCTCTCTCGCACCCCTACGGGGCGCCCCAACCAGTGCGAGAGAGACGGCGCGGCTAAACAATCCTTTCGGAAGCAATCTAGAGGAGGGCTACCGCCGGCCGAAACGGAAAGTAGTGTATCGACCGTTTTCCCATCATGGCCAAGTGAGTCGTAAAAAAACAACAGCAATAAAAAGACCGATAAAAAAAATAGCGTGCGCGGATTTGGTCGGCGAGACTCCGCGTGTGGGTTCCAGTGTGGGAGGCTAATGCGGACCTAATTGCCCAATCGACGGATGGGTAATAAAGAGCTTCTCACGGCCTGGCCTGCTGTTTTTGTTGTTTTTTTGGGCTATCCATAATAATTAAGACTACTCTCCGGCACCTCGTCAAATTGAGCGTCTGCGCGCGTAATTTTAAAACGAAACTGGACACTGAATGCTGATGTCCATAACCATTTGCCATATTGCCATATTTGTGCATACGGAAAGTGTCAAACTATTTATTTAAAACATACCTAATTTATGTAACAATTTGTACATAACTCATGTGCACAAATATGGCAAAAGTTATGGACGAAAAGCCCATTGGCATTTAGTGTGTGCACGCATGACATCCAGGAAGACACTGTAAATCCAAAGGCAATACTTTTGGTACCTTTTTTGGCGATACAATTAAGTATCGCCAATAAACGGCCTTACGAAAAAGTATTGCCTTCAAAACGGCGATACACAAACGTATCGCCAAAATTTGGCGATACGTCGGAGTATTGCCACAATTTGGCAATAAACGTTAAACAAATCAAGGGGACAAGTTCCTAGTTCAATGCCGTGGTTTTGGCGATACCAAAAAGTATCGCCGAATTTTGGTCATACTTCTGTGTATCGCCGTTCAGAAGGCAATACTTTGCTGTAAGGCCGTTTATTGGCGATACTCAATAGTATCGCCGAAAAATGAACTCAAGTATCGCCTTTGCATTTGCAGTGGAGGCGTGTTCGACATTTTTGCCTGACATTGCACGGCGTAAAATGCTCAGAAACAATCAAGGTTACTGAGAAAAGTTTGTGAGCACGAAACTTTGCTACACGTAAATAAAGAATTTGTTCTGGCAACGAAAATGTCTGTTGATTTTTTGGATAGCGAAACAAAATTGGTTAGGCGTACTATCAATTTGTTGTCAGAACGAACACTTTGCTCTCACGACAAATAATTCGTGAGGCGTACAAACATTTGACGATCTCCTGACGATATTGTTCGTTGTCAAAACAACTAAGTGTTCGTTCTGACAACAAATTGATACAGTACGCTACCAACATTTTTTAAGCTATCCCAAAATCAATATATACATTATCGTTGATGCAACAAAGTCTTTTTTTTACGTGTATAACAGTGCACTGCAGTGCCGGAGTCACTTTGCCGCGCATTTCTCCGGAAAGTGACTCCGGCGAGTCACTCCGAGCGAGCGCCTCTCCGGCGAGCGGCCGGCCGGCAGAGCGGAGCAGAGCGGAGGAGAGCGCTCCGAGAGGTCCCAAATAATGACGCAATGGTGATTTAATGAAGCGACCGCCGCGCAGCAACGCGCAGCGAGCTCTTCAAATAAGAACGCCTTTATCCATAAATCACGCGACGGCGTGGCGGGGCGGGGCGGGGCGGGGTGGGGCGGGGCGGGGCGGGGCGAGCGGCGATGACGCTAATGCCTTCATTTCGAGTCCTTTTCGAAATAATACTCACCGCGCGCGGTCATGCGGCCCGCCCCGCCCCGCCCGTGGCGGCCACGACAAGCGCTGAGGCCCGTAACGTCCAGCCACGACAAGCGCGGCGGCGGCGGGGAGAATCGGAACGGAAACAAAAGGTTTTAATAACGCGCCGGTAGGTGGCCGGCCCGACCAGCAAGCACACTGATTCCGAGAGTCGCTTTCGTCGCTCTGTCTCTCCCGCACTCATGGCGCGTCCCGTATGGGTGCGAGAGAGAGACAGAGCGGTGAGAACGACTCTCGGAATCAGACTGCAGCACGGCCAGCGCGGCCACGGGGCGTAAGTGAGCCTTTGGGCAACACGATCACGGGGTCCTCCTCCGTCTAGGTGGCACGGCACGGCACGACACGGCACGGCACGGCGGAGGAAGACAGGCGGTCGGAGCGGCTCGTGTGAGGTAGAGGGCCGAGGGAACGCCAACAAACCAGCCAAGTGTGACGATCGATTCTTCGGCCGACACCTATCCCAACTGCCCCAGCGTGACCTGGCAACGCGTGGGTCATCTCGAACGAGCGTGAACACTGCAAAGCCGATGGTAAGTTTGCTCGGCACAGATTTGGGAAGCCGTTTGGAATGCGAAAATTTGGCAAGCTTGGCCTGGAAATACCACCCAGCTTGCCAAAATTTGGCAAGCTTATGAAGATTTCCGACCAAAGCTCGCCAAATTTTGGCATTCAAAACGGCTTGCCAAATCTGTGGCTTGCGCAAACTTACCACTGGCTTTGCAGTGAAAGACACGCCCCCGTGACCAATAATTTTGTACATACGGTAGTTTCACAAGTAAATTCGTGCTTTTCGTACTTAGATATGTTCGAAATTTTGCACGAGTTGGTGCAACCACGATCCTATGAACACACATTTGTAGGAAAAATATGCTGTGCATAAAATATTGTGTGGCCACGTAAAGAAAACATTTCACAAATAAGTACTGCGAGAACGAAAATGTTTTAAAGTCAGAAGGAAGAACCCATTCATTTTCCGTCAAGCCGTCCTCTGTGCGAAAAATTTCGAAATTAAACCCTTACAAAACGGAAGTGACAACTCGTGCTTTCCGCGCGGCCCCCGTTGAGTCCAGTTCGAACGTGCAGCGCGCGGACAATAGGCCGCAAATCACGCAGCGCGGCCACTGCAGCGCCCTGCAGTGTGCTTACAGTGTCTTACAAACGCCACGCGTGGGGCCCGTGGGGCTCATGCATCCCCCCGGGGGGCAAAAGCGACGACGGGGTGGTGTGCAAGCACGTTCCTTTCACCCCTCCCCCTCCACCCACTCACCACTCCTCTCTCTCTCTCTCTCTCTCTCTCTCTCTCTCTCTCTCTCTCTTCTCTCTCTCTCTCTCTCTCTTCTCTCCTCTTCTCTTTCTCTCTCTCTCTCTCTCTCTCTCTCTCTCTCTCTCTCTCTCTCTCCTCTCTCTCTCCTATTCGTTTCCGTCCTCACTTGTTCGTATTCCTTGACCGCCGCGCGCTGCTCGTGATTGTTGGACGTTCTCGTTGTTGTTCCCGATCTGGTTGATGTTGTTGTTGTTTGTGATCTCCTTGTCGTCTCCGGCGTGCCTCGTTTCAACTCGTTGTCGAAAACGGCCGCCAAAGGTCACCGCCGACGCGGTCACGCCGACAGCGT